TCAACCAACATCGAAAAAACTCTGTTAAATATTATAGCGTTCACAATCCTTTTTGAAGGTCCGGTCAGCACCAACATCAAAATCAACCGAGACTTTTTGATCCTAAACATTTATTTCAAGTTTCATCTACATCGGACAAGCTATGCATGCGATCTTTGGGATATAAACATATAGTTAAATTTCATCAAACATTGTGACCTTCAGAGTGATCACAAACAAATTATGTGAAAGGACATTTTGCCAATTTTTGGACGTCCCTGGCATTTCTGACAAGGTCGACCGCATAAAACGTCCACTGCATACGGATCAGGAAACATAATAAAACGCTGTTTTAAAAAATGGATTTTAATCAGATCCTTATTTAAATTTATTTCGGTTATACAAAGTGGTAATTTTCCACGTGAATTCCAATTGTCAAGGGTCCTGTAATGGAAGGTCGCGGATTGCTAAATATCTATAGGGTTCGTCCTTCCATGACCCCAACACGTTACATCCAATTTCTGAAGAAAATCGCGCTACAACTACAAGGTTTGTTTTGGGGTGGGGGTAACACTGAAACGAAAAGGTCGCGGGTCCGTCGTCACATACTAAATTTGAAAAACACGTTAAAAACTGTAGCACCGATCGTCAATTGTTGACGGACGGACGGACTTGGGTGAGGACACAATAGGCCTACGCCGACACAGGATATGGGCGTCCCGGTAGGCGTATAAAATACAAATATCACCCACATCCATTTCTGTTGACTTGTCTTAAGCCATTGATGTAAACAAACAATAAATAGAGAATTCATTATAATTAACATTAACAATTTATTATCATTTTCTACACAATATATAGATGGAACTCAATGACCATTGAATATTGCTCGGGTTATTCAATGGTTCAAGAAAGTGTATCCTTGCGCAAGTAAGCCTACCGGTATTCCACGAGCGATAGCGAGTGGAATGCGGCAAGGATACACTCTCTTGAACCATTGAATAACCCGAGCGGTATTCTATGGTCATTGATTTCTGTTTTTACTATATAACTACATGCAAATCTGAAAATACATTCATCATAGGTTCCGTCCTTTTTTTCTTTCTTTTTTACAAAAATTGTGGTTGCCTAGTGGTGACGTCATTACAGTTTGATGTAAGTCTGAAAGTGGCGTAATTCTGGACAAAAGTAGTGCGTGTCCAAGCCATTGAATACAACCATAGGTTATTCATTGGCTGTATTCAATGATATTTACTTATATAAGCAAAGTACTAATTATACATCGACCATTGTATGAGATACGGTAAAATGGGCGTGTCTCTAGCCAAGTTGTAGCCAAGTATGCACAATGAAATTATGTAGATGTGGAATCTTCAAATAAATTAGAAGTGGACTCAGATGTTCTTTTAATACAATATAGGGTGTATTAACCCCTTATATAGTTCTTTTTGTCTTGTGGAAGGGCACTAAAATAAAGCCCATATTACTTATCACTGGGGTTTTAGTACATATTTGTCAAAACCCTTATTATTTTGTTTAACTATCTCGCGAAGACATCATGATTTTAACGTCATCTAACTTCATATTGTTCTGGATGTTTAATTTGAAATAAAACCCGGTCACTCTGTTAACATAAAGCCAGCAGTACTTATTACTTGATGTTTAGTTTTTTTTACACTTCTGCCCATTATCATTCATGTTTTAACGTCCTCTAGCATGTGGTATATGCTTTAAATAATCCTTCTCACGACGTCATCATCATTTTAACAAATTCGTCATAATTGACTTGTCCATCACCATCAATATCAGCCTCCCTAATCATTTCATCTACTTCCTCATCTGTTAATTTTTCACCAAGATTTGTCATAACATGTCGTAATTCAGCAGCACTGATAAATCCATTACCGTCTTTATCAAAAACACGAAAAGCTTCACGAATTTCTTCTTCACTGTCCGTGTCTTTCATTTTTCTTGCCATCATGGTTAAAAATTCAGGAAAGTCGATCGTTCCATTACCGTCAGCATCAACTTCGTTAATCATGTCTTGTAGTTCTGCTTCTGTTGGATTCTGTCCAAGAGATCTCATAACTGTCCCCAATTCTTTGGTAGTAATGGTTCCATCCCCATCCTTGTCAAATAAACTGAAAGCTTCTTTAAATTCAGCAATTTGTTCCTCATTCAGTTGATCAGCCATTTTCGACAGATATATCTAGTGGGGGGAACTGAAGATTTGTTTAACTATACTGAAACACAACCGCAAACAGTTCTCACATCTGGTGTTGATTTAGATATGCCTTTATATATACACAGGTCGGGACATGACGTGATTAACTTGACAATTTAACGCATTGCTGTATACGACGTGTGGTAACCAACAACAAATACAGATCTGTAAATCTGGATTAATACTTAATGAGATCATAATCTCACGATCATTATATTATACCTATATACCCATTGATATGAGGGTATATGAGCAAAATCTTGTATTGATTGTTCTTCCTAATTTATATCTATATATTATACCCCTTTGTTTATTTATAGTAAGATTTGTTATTATCGATTCATCTTTTAAATAATGGGAATCATTATCGCTTAACAGAAATCAGTGTTATGGGGACATTGTCAGGTCAATATAAACTCAACCGATGAAAGCTTAGTATGGATTTTAAATACTTTTTAGAGTTTACTATTTGGACTCTGCTTGACCCCTGGACCATGTATGTACACAGTAGCCTAAAGCTTCTGAAATCCAGGTCAAAACAATTACTCCGATTAGCTATGAGTATAGTAATCGGCGTCTTACACGAGGCGATGTATGCTTACACTTTCTAGAATACTTGATACCACCTTTCATTTGTGATAATGTGATCAAAGCACAAAGAATGGCATATGCCCGTCTTCATTAACCTGGTTTGTGATAAGTAGTACGGTCAATAATTAATGAAAAATGAATATATCAAAACTTTCAGTCAGATTACTTTTTTTTCTAAGCGACGTGATGAGTGTTTAATTATTAAATGACGCGGATCTTCTAATCCATTCAATATCACGGTCATTCGAAGATCTAGAGACATGGTTATATGAACTTGACATATACATATATTGTATATAACATTTGAAGCTCAAAAACAAAGATTTAGCTCTTTAAGTTAACTTGAACATTTTTGACATGCCTCTTTTCAATCCATCGAAATCCAAGCCGAGAGATTATGTAACGTTGATGGGCCTACTTTGATTTTGTTGTCGCAGTTAAAAGTTAAAAAATCAATCTGAGTACGTAATAGGGTGGATGAAATCGCGAGAAATTTGATATTTTTCAAATAATGCAAATTTACTAATACATTTTAAAGGGACAATAACACTCTTGCTGGCTTGAAAGCTCCAGAAAATAAATAATATCTCTATCTAAGTACTAGATGTCTAAGTGTCCTACCTGTTGTGTAAATTACCCATTACATCCTATTTTACTTGTCCAGAGGGTTCGAAAATATTTTTAAATCGAAGTTTCATTTGAAAAGGTTTACGTTAGACGTTTCAAACCATTATGTTAAATTTTTCAAAATTTTTAAATAAGGTGTGTTAAGATGAAATTTGTATCATGAATTAATTGAAATATTCTAAAATAGTACAATTTGTTGACCAGAATAAAGATTGGGACATATTATTCAGTTACAACAAGAGTGGTATTGAGCCTTTAAGGTAAAATAACTTCTTCTCTGACAGCAGATTTTGAAGTTGAGCGTGTAAAGTCGCAGTTAATAGTGATTATTATATTTTTACAAAATTAACGCCGCCTGTTGTGAATTAGAGTTCGCCCTGTTAGCATATGCTGCGCCTGTAGTTGATAGTCTTAGTGCTTAAAGAAACCAGAATCAGAGAATCCCCCCCCCCCCAACCACCAGATCCACTATCCTCTTGGCATGCATGTTAGCAGTAAGTCGGGGCTAACGAACTGAGGTTTCGTGGTGTTCCTAACTGTCATGTTGGACATCTACTACAAAGAACCATTGGCCGCTGGAAATCGATACAGGGTAAGAAACGCCGATATCCGGGCAATTTTTTTCTCATAGAACGTTGCATCGCGTTTATCCATCTTCATTAGTCAGAGAGAGAGAGAAAGAGAGAGAGAGAGAAAGAGAGAGAGAGAGAGGTTTAACGTCCACTCGACACAAACTATGTCATTTCGGGACTAACATATGGTTTAATTTTATTTCAATAATTCGCTTGCGCGTAGGGGTCTTTAGCGGTGGGAGGAAACCGGGGGACCCGGAGAAAACCCACGAGGTTGGACAGGCGACCCGAAACCACGCCAGTTGACTCAATGAAAGGCTTTATGATACAGCGCGCACGTGGTTTCGATTCCCTGGTTGTACGTGATAAGGAGTAGGGTCGTCTGTCGAATCTCGTGGGTTTTCTCCGGGTCCTCCGGTTTCCTCCCACTGCTAAAGACCCCTACGCGCAAGTGAATTTTTGAAATAAAATTGAACCATATGTTAGTCCCGAAATGACCTAGATTGTGTCGAGTGTACGTTAAACCCCATTTCTCTCTCTCTCTTTATAAAGATACCCAAGCCAAGTGTCTCGACACCATCTTATCGGAAAGTGGTGTGATAACTCTAGAAGGAAAAACTGTAGCATGTATTGCCTTCGCGTGGTTTTTGGCAACGGGTGGATAACTCCGGAACGGAAGGTCGCGAAACACTGAATATCATCTCATGAGCCCAATACTTTAAATCGTTAGTAAAGTGCCGGGACGCCGATTATCGATAGGGTTCGCCCTCTCATGGCCCCAATGCTTCCCGACAAATTTGGAAAAAAATCCATTAAACGGGGCATAATAATCTGAAATAGAAAACCCCGGAACACTGAATATCGATAGGGTCCTCTCGTCACCTCAATGTTTCATACCAAATTGGAAACGACCCGTCAAAAGCTATAGCCCCAGTCTTGTTCTCGAGCTAATTGTTGACGGACGGACCAACATACAGGTTGACGACTATATAAGTCCAAACGTCGTGTAGGTATATAAAAAGTGCTGACAGTCCGTTTTATTATAGGTTGTGCACAATATCTTACTTACATGCCATTATCACAGGATTACAATTTTCATACCATAAGAATACATAATCAAGAAAAGAGTATAATATTTAATATGGCAATTTAAGGCCCTGTATGTAATCTCAATTATTTCTGACTGTACTGCATAGAGTCATTAGACAATTGAATATGCTATTTATTTTAACAACCAAGGGCTCTATACAATATATGTAATGCCATATGGTTCTGATTGTACTTTGATAAATAGTCATTAACTCTTTTGGGAACTTCGTCCAGTTGGTAAAATACGATAATTTTCGATTTGACGTGATTTGAATATACAATTTATACGGACATGTTCAAACTATGAAACAATTGTTTTAGTAGTTTTAAGTAGGTCAATGCTCGTGTTTCCAATACTGTAATTGGGTCTTTCGGGGTTATTTTGAGTAAATTATATAAAATAAATGATATTCTTCAAAATACGTAGAATTCATTTTCATTTTACTGTTTGCCATTTCCATTTACGTTTCTTTTCTTAAAAGCTTCTGTTTGTCTGTAGGCGGCAAGTCGTGGACGACTGTTAAATGCATTGTAGTAAGCCTTCAATGTTGGCAGTGTGTCTAAACAAGTTGGACTAAGAAGCACCTGAATATCCAGAAGGTCATATAAATTATAATCCACGAAGGAAACCTGAAATTAAAACATTAAATTGATGACTTATATTACAATACAAAATACTTCTTTTCCTCGTAAATTTATAAACATTAGTTATAAGCTATACTAATGGAAACAGCTTCCAAAATTTGTCTTAATAAATTAATAGCTGCTTTCCATGCATGTGTTCCCGTTTTTATTTTTTGCTCCATCAAATTACTAAATGCTACTAAAACTTTAATGATTATGAAGTTATTCACATATGGAGTTCTGGTTGGAATGACTTTTGGCATATTCCCGAAACAATGACCACGTTTAGATATCAATTATTGACGATTGTTTTCGTTGGTGTACTGTGGCCGCTAACAGATTATCGAAATAATACTCTGCATCTGTTACACGTCACCCAAACGAAATAAAACAAGCCAACAAATAAATAAATGACACATTAATTAATCGCACATCTATTTTTTTTTTAAAAGTATCGAGCAATCAAACTGATTATCAACTATACACTGAGTTTCATCACTCTCTATCAGATAGAATCAAAGTTATCTTGTCCCAAAGCATCGACCAAGGAAATTGCTTATCTCTGCTTAGCTTTAGCTCGATATGTTAATCATTGAACTCAGTCAAGACGAACATCTACATCAAGTTTAAACATTCTACCTCAATTAGAAGCAGAGTTGTTATGTTCCAAAGTTTTGACCAATCAAAATGCTTATTGCTCCTTAGCCTAAGCAGACAATTCTCATCATCGAACTTAGTCAAGGTATTGATGTAATGAAACTATACACCAAGTTTCATCACTCTCACTTAATTAGAACTAAAGTTATCGTGTCCCAAAGCATCAACCAATCAAATTGCTTATCTCTACTTACCATAAGCAGAAAATGCTCATCTTCCAACTCCATCAAGGCATTGACCTCATGAACACCTGTACCAAGTTTGGACATTTTAGCTCAATTAGAATGAGAGTTATTGTGTTCCAAAGTCTCGGCCAATCAAATTGCTTATCACTCTGCTTCCCCTGAGCAGAAAATGCTCATTATCGAACTTAGTCAAGGTATTGATGTAATGAAACTATACACCAAGTTTCATCACTCTCACTTAATTAGAACTAAATAGTGTTTAAAGTCCTACTTTTTCTGCAAGGAATGGGCTAATGAAGACGGGTATAGAGTGTGCTATAAATAAAGAGATTTGGATCGGCGGATGCCACCATTTCAAAATCAACGCTAAAATATTTTGGTATAGAAAAATGGTGTTCATTTTGCAAGTAAATAAATGTCACTGTAAAGTTTCTAACTATTTACAAACCTTTCCTGCAACGGCAAAACCTGACGAAACGGCACCGTTCGCCTTTAAAATATTCTGAAAAACATGTTGAAATAAGTAAAAAGTTGCTGACCATCATTTGTAATTTTCATACTGTATCTAATTATTCATTTAAGATTTAATTATGAAAACAAACAAAATCAACGGCACATGGATAATGCAAAAACGAGACCATCAAATTTTTTTGATAACTATATAGGTGGCAGTGACATAGACGAAACAACCTTACATCAAAATGAACAAAATATTTGCATGGGATTCAGAATCATCCAATTGACGATCATAGACTTTAACAAAAATCAAATATGGATTTTTAACTCAATTTGTGTAAAGAATCACATCCTATTACTTACAACTTACAGGAACTCGGAACGACAGATTGGAAAAATGTGTTGCGGTATGACAGGTAGGTACTTATATTCAGTTTTTGATTCTGAACAATAAGATATTAAATGATAAGATATTTTATTCACTTATGCCGTATGGAATTTTTGTTTTTGTAGTTACCTCAAATGGTTGTAATCTCTCCGGTAAGGCTTTAACATATTCTTCTTTGCCCGCTTCCTGTAATATTCATCAAATGTAAAATGGTATTATCTTTATTCAATTCAAAATTGGGTTCCTGTACACATCCATTTGTTATCATAGCTTTTGGTACCAATCATTAATCAAGAAAGAATCCCTGCCCTCCTATCTAATTCTTAGAAAATGGACACGCATTGGGTTTGAAATTAAGGTAACGTGACCAATCAAGTAAACGGTGCTTCGCTTATCTCGGGAGTCAGTCTTTAAAAGAGTGGATCGGGTTCTGATTCCTAACACATAATTCTAGAGAACGTTATAATATAGTACTTTATTTACATCAGACGATTAAATATGGCAGCGTGAAATCAGAAAAAACTAATGTAATCTTGAAACGGCATAATTTTAAATTAGAATTGATCGGTTTGGAATAATCTTTGGAGAAATATCCTTTGTACTAAAAGCATATCCTTTGACTGTGGGTTGTTATTCTGGCAACAGGGCGATATTTCGTTGATGCAACTAACTTTAACTTACATAATTTTGATAGATGAGTTTAACATAAAGATTACGAAGATCTTCAACACCATCATTTAACATATCAACTTGATATGCTGTTACAGGATCACTGGGGTACATATCTATAATATAATACATTTAAACATCGTTATCAACTCCGGGGTGTTAATGGTGATTTTTTATGGCGTTATATGGACCCCATTATAACATCATCAGTTACATCACCCCAACCAATAGAAAACTTTAAAGGTTTCATGGAAACGGAACAATAAGTGAATTTATTATCATAGGCGTACGGATTATGACGAGACTTTTAAAATTTTGAATAATCCGAAGCCTTTTATGGGGGGGGTTTCACCTTTCACCGGTGTCCTCTTACCAAGATAATGCTAGAAATATCAGATAAATTTAACATAAAATAAATGGTCCCGTAATTTCAGCGAATTACTGAAATAAAATTGTACCATATATGTTAACCCAGAAATGACCTTGTATGTTTTGAGTGTACGCTACCCTCCCTCTCTGTCTCTCTCTCTCTATCTGTCTCTCTCTGATTCTAGTATATTGTGTGTGTTGTGTGTGTTTTTTTTGTTGGTGGGGGGTTGTATATGTATATATAACTTACCATGCTTGCGACCAAGATACCGTAAAATAGAATTGGACTGAACAAACAGTGTATCACCGGAGTAGAAAGCTGGAGCTTGTCCATAGGGCTAAATTAAACAAGAGTTTTAAATAAATTTGAAATTGTTCGTGATATATTGGACTTTATAAATCAGTCTTAATTCCCAGGGGAGTATAGCACGTGGGGAAAAGACTGCGGTCGAGTCTAATTTACACCAATATTATGAACTTTTTAAAGTATGCCTAATTTAAGCAAGTGCCCATGTCGTGGTCTTCGCCGGGCTATCCGTAGGTTGGTAAATTAGACGATCAATATGATAATTTTTCTACATTTGCCTGTTCTTCGTCTGTTGCAGTGTCATTCCATATACAGTTACCGAAAAGCAAGAATTCCTAGAAATTAGTTGAATTATATTCAGTCGATCAGGGTAAAAAGTTTAAATGTAAATAGTTAATGGGCATCCGAGGGATATTGCCGAATATATCCACCATAATATGCTGTCTACTTCAACGTGCAACAAAAATATATAAAGGAAACGTACCATTTTAGGTTTATATTTCGGCCAGTCGGCAAAATCTATTAAGACTTCATCGTAAACTAATTCGTTATCTTTTAATAAATAACGAATTGATTCTCCTCGACCTGAAACATATCATTATGGCGTCATAAACCAATCTATATCAGTAAATAGAGATCATAAAAATAATCATTATTTTATATGTGTTCATAGTATCCCAAACTCGGTAATATTCTCGGTTTATTGCAGTTATGTCCTGCGCCAGTTGAGGTTTGAATCGGGATCCTGGCTGAAAAATTCATTGGGACCTTTGAAAAGGGTTGGGGGGGGGGGGGGAGATTTTCAACAGATTAAACATATAACAAGGGAAATAACTCCATGATTCCGAACAATTTTTATTTTATTAAAAAATAGATACAGTAGCGCTGAACAAATGAAAATGGAATGAAATGGGGTTTAACGTCCTACTGTTCTGCTCCTAACCTGGGCTAATGAAGACGGGCATACGCCATACAGTGTGCTATGAGGGGGAATTTGCCCGGGCAGCGGCACTACGGCCTACTCTTATATCGAATTCCAACTGCCAAGGGATCGGTTTTCGTCCCATCCGAACGACTAGACAGCTGTCCTTGTCAGGCCCTCCATCCTGCATCACTGACAAGGGGAAACCACGCCGGAAAATCTGAATGAACTTTCTCGGCCAATGCAGGGATCGAACACCCGACCTCCAGGCTAGCGAGCCAGCGTCTTACCCACTTAGCCACGTGATCCCGTACCGCTGAACATGTCTTAATGTTAATTTATAATTACCTCTAACGTCGAAATATTCAAGTCTGTAAGCCACTGTAAAGAAAACAGCGTTGTTAATAATAGATCTCCATAAATGTAGGAAATGAAATGAAATCGGGTTTAACGTCCTACTGTTCTGCTCCGACTATGGTCTAACGAAGACGGGTATACGCCACACAGTGTACTTTGAGGGAAATTTTGCCCATACACCGGGGCTACGGCCTACTCTTATTTCAAATTCCAACTGTCAAGGGATCTTTTATGTGCACATCAATGTATACACGGGACCTCAGTTTTTCGTATCATCCGAACGACAATACATTGTCACCTCGGCCCCATAATTGGAGAACATAAATAACCCATAAAAACAGAAATTTCTGAATGCATATCGACTAATTTAACATTAATTGATATACATTCTCTCATTCAAATTCAGTTAATCTTTCTTGAAATTTGAAAGGAGTGGGATGATATTCAGTAAAACTCGGTGCAATAGTACAATGGATGCGACGGTGGGTGGAAATGTGATAAAGTCCAAGTACGAATTTGTATGAAGAAAGCTCAGTCCGCAGGGTAACATGGCGACACGTTTATCCTATGGCTATTATTTAGTGCAGTCATAAAATATTAAAATAATATTGTTTATTTTTAACCTTATAGTTCGATCGGGATAACATAAGTTTTATGTCTAACGCTTGCACTGTGCTAAAAAAAACTAGTCAGTATGTGTGCATGCATTATCACGTTGCAAACAAAAAGTAGGTTACATGAATATGTTTCAAATGGCTATAAGTCTTGCTTGGGCTATGACTCATTTTGATGCGCGATGTTTTACAACCAAATCATGGATCTTATATTAGGTCCATGAGCACATCAAAGCTATGTGGTTTTGTGTGTATGATAAGTTAGTTTACTTACTAGTTGTGTAAGGTGATGTAGCTGTGCTCCCCAGGAACGATCAAATGAAAGTTATCGTGTATGGCTTTTGTAGCCAATTTGACACGGCAAGGCATCACGTGACACTTTAAAGCTTTCAACTTTAAATCATATAGGGGATGGCCAGGGCACTATAGACTCTTGAGTTGAATCTACCGAGTTCGAATCGTGTCCGGGGCCGAGAAGAACTTTCTCGATTTTTATACGCCCACATTTTCATGTGAACGTATATTGTCGTCGCCCCTGTCCGGGCGTCCGTCCGTCCGTCCCCAATAATATTGTTTGTGAACACTCTACAGGTCACAAATTTTATCCGATTTCAATGAAACTTGAAATATAGGTTTATCACCCTATAAGATCTCGGTTCCTTTCGATATTGACATATGAATCGGACTGTAACTTCATGGATTATGGCCCCTGATTGTACGAAAAGTCACGTTTTTAGCTTGTGAACACTGTAGAGGTCACAATTTTTATCCGATTTGGTTTAAACTTGAAATGTATGTTTATAACCCACAGATCTCGGCTCCTTTCGATATTCACGCATATCGGACTATAACTTTCTGAATTATGGCCCCTGATTGTACGAAAAATCGCGTTTTTAGCTTGTGGACCATATAGAGGTCACAATTTTTATCCGATTTAAAAAAAACGTTAGAATATATCACCGTTACACCCTAAGGGTGGTTGAGTTCGAATTTCGTAAAAATCGACCGTAACTGATGGAAAAATTGCCGCCCCTCGTTCGCGAATAGTGTCAAAATATTGTGTATCAGGGTTGTGGACCACCTGGAGGTCACAATTTTCATCTGATTTTGATGAAACTTGAAATGCATGATTATAACCCAAATATCTTGGCTCATGTAGATTTTCGTACATATCGAATCGTAACTTTCTGAATTATGAGCCCTGAGTGTACGAAAAATCTCGTTTTTAGCTTGTGGTCCTTCTAGAGGTCACAATTATTACCCGATTTAAAAAAAAACGTTCGAATTTTTCACCGTTACATCGTAATTTTGTCTGAGTTTAAATTTCATGAAAATCGGGCCAAAACTGTCGGACAAAATGGCCGCCCCTCGTACGCAAATATAGTAAACATCTGGTAAATCAATGTTGTGGACCCTCTAGAGGTCACAATTTTGATTCGATTTCGATGAAACTTGAAATACATGTTTATAACCCAAAGATATTGGTTCCTTTGGATATTCGCGCATATCGGATCATAACGTCCTGAAATTATGGCCCTTGATTGAACAAAAAGTCACGTCTTTAGCTTGTGGTCCCTGTAGAGGTCACAATTTTTATCCGATTTAATAAAAAACGTTTGAATTACACACTAAGATCTTGGTTCCTTTTGATAATCGCGGATACCCGAACTTAGCTTCCTGGATTAGCTTGCGGATTCTCAAGAGGTGACATTTTTTCCGATTTTAAAAACCGTTTAAATACATCACCATTCCATCATAATGAAGGTTGAATTCGAATTTCGGGAAAATCGAAATGAAACTACCCGACAAAATGGCCGCTCTTTGTACGCAAATTGTGTAGAAGTGTGTAATACGAAGGTTAATGTGGACCCTCTAGAGGTCACAATTTTTATCCGATTTTGATGAAACTTAAAAAATATATCTTTATATTCTCTTTTGATATTTGCACATTTCAGGACATAACTTTTTGATATTAGCTTGTTCTCTATCCATCTCTTGTAAAATGTGGGCGTATCCTGCCTGGCAGCCGCTGGTTACAAATAACATTTGGCTTATATATTTGCCGAAGTATTGTGTTGAGGTTTTTATATTCGTTTCTGTTGAGCCCTGTTTACATCTCGTGACCTTTGACCAAACTTGAAGTTGGTCTTATCAAATAAAGCCTGGCGCACACTATTATTTGAGATCGTTACTTGGAATACTATAAACGCACTCGACTGGCGTTGTACTAAGACAGCGACGTCGCCGCCTGATTATTATGTATTCAACGCGATGACGATTAAAATGCATTTAGAGGTGTCACATGACGAAGCACGTGACAGGGTTTTTTTATTTCGTGATCGCCAAAGTCGTCGTATAGTGTGCTCACTCCATTTATGTTGCGGCGATATTTGTCGCCAAACTCGTCGCTTAAGTTGTCGCATAGTACACCCCCTTACCCCTTTCAATAAATAGCCAGCGTCCGCCACTGCTTGGATATTTTGTAACATTTTAGAGATCATGTGTGAACGATTTGGTTTGTTGTGCCATTAATTGGGGGAATATTCTCTGATCTCCCCACCAACATGTATTTGTCTTATAAGCTTTCTTAAACTCGGGATCCCCCTTATTCATACGACGGTTAATGTTTTTCTGGAATCATCAATTAATATTGACCAAAATCGGTACCCTGGGTGAAAAATCGTACTTTATTTAGTACTTATAACACACATTATAATATCTTTGTGTATTTTTGCACACTTCCAAGTATGTTAGAATTGGCATCATTTGGAAGGTCAGGGTTGCCATATAAAATTAAATCAGGTGTAATTTGTCATTTTATTAGCGACTTATTGGTGCCAAGCCAATGGTTAGTTAACATGCGTCTAAAACTAAATCAACATGGGAAAATAATAAATTTTTCTATAATTTAACTCCTACTTATTATTTGAAGTCCACAGCAGTTCGAAATTACTTGTACATTTATTGTCAGTGAATAATATAAAGATAAAATAAAGTTATACGCCAAACTTGTGTCGCAATTTATTCAGCCTCCCTATAATCTGGGGGTGGGGGGGGGGCGAATGGTTATCACGTGCGCGCTGTATCATAAGGCCTGTCATTGAGTCAACTGGCGTGATTTCGAATCCCCGGTTGTACGTGACAAGGAGTATAGGATCGTCTGTCAAACCTCGTGCGTTTTCTCCGGGTCCTCCGGTTTTCTCCCACTGCTAAAGACCCCTACGCGCAAGCGAATTATTGAAATAAATTAAACCATATGTTAGTCCCGAAATGACCTTGTTTGTGTCGAGTGAACGTTAAACCCCATTTCTCTCTCTCTCCCTTTTTTCCCCCTTTAATCTGGGCGGGCTGTTGAGGAAATCAATTTACGAACATCTAGATATCCAAGACTACATTACTGGTAAATCTGGTCACATTTACACGCTTCGCGGAATCATATCCTGGTCCTTCTGCTTCGCGGAGCACTAAATTTCTTAACCAAAATAACACAACAAGAAATTTGAAATATTTAAATAATTCAATTACTGCTTAATGGTGTTATAATGAAGATATTTTTTTACATATTATTTTCATTCATTATATGTATAGTCCATTTTGTAGAGTAATTTACGATATTTACGAGTTATGACGTCATATTCCCGCCATCACGATGTCGGCTATGAAACTTCATCTCCGCTTCTGTAACAGGTTTTGATATTATATAAATCAACATCAGGTACGTATTTTATTACAATATAACATTTCATTTACCCCAGATCTCTATCAAAAAGTATATTCTCTGTATTGTTTTTTTTATTACCGGTAAACCGATGGAAATGTGAGGGTTTCCCCGAGACATTTAATTTATTGATCAAGGAATTCCCCTTTGCATTGGTCCATGCAGCATCGTGGCAATGTCAGCTTGCTGACATGTCCAGACATGCCGCGGATATTTACGTTGCTGAAACAAGATACTCTTTATTATGTTGAATATGGAGATGATGGCCAGGTACGCGAATAGCAAATGATAATACGTCGGCGTTGGCTAAGAAAAAAATCGACATATTTTATGGGGCCATATTTCCGGTGTTTTGTAGGGGACAGAATATTTTAGATATGTTAATCTATTTTTAGATGACACATTATGTAAACAACAACACGTGTTTTTTTTCCTCTATCAAGTATAAACACGAAAGTCTATTTTAATAGATTACGGTAATAATTTGGATTGTACCCAATTAATACTAGTTTTACTTTAATATCGAGGTGTTATACAGTTGACTGTAGATGGGAAACAAATTTTGGTTGACATGTCAAAACAAATTTATATCTTCAACACATTACCAATGACTTATTTATTCTTCTGCTGGATTAAATTCTAAGTTAGTCTTCTGTGGATGTTGATTTGTATGGATCAGTTTTATAATTGTTAACATCTGCATGTGCTCTATTAACAAAGAAGCAAAGAAAATTGTTAAAAATTGTACCTGATTATTCTATTATGAGAGGTAAGCAACGGTTAAATATAGTTATCACAAATGACTATGTTAATTTCATAAAAAAAATTTAGCATTTCGGTCTTGCTCTTTAAAATGGAGCAAATATGTAATGAATTAAAGTAATATGTAAATACTACCTTTAGAATAACTCTTTTACAAAAATATTAATAAATTTACATCTTTCTTTTTAGCGTCATCTGTAGGCCTACATGTCATTTATTTTACAAAACTTTCCCATAACATTAACTATTTTGAAACTTTATTTTTGAGATATGACACTATTTCTAGTAGTATTTTGTAAGATTATTTAATTTTTATGTAAATTTATAAATATTATGTTAGATGCAACAGAGACTTTGATGAAATGAACCTATTTGGTAAAATTTACAATTGCTGTCTATTATTGTTGATAGTTAATTCTTGTTGAAATAGAGCTTTCAGTATCACTGAGAATAAACATTCAGTTATAAATATTGGTTCTATGAGCACCACAGATTATTAGACTAAATAAGTAGGCCTATTCGTACATATATATATATATATATATATATATATATATATACACAGTATTATGTTAAAATCCATTCTAAGTTGATAAATGTAGTATTGCCACAAAATTTAAAATAGACAATTGGGTGTAGTATTTCTTTATAATGTTCGAATAACCATGAGACTATCTGCATAAGTACTTCAATTAACATGATAAATGGCCTCAGTCTATCTATGACCAATAAATGCATAATATAACCTTTATTTCCTTTAAAGATACTTTCACCCAATTATATATTTATGGGGTGGTTATTTTCAATAAAAGTATGTCAAATTTGTTATATATGGAAAGTAGAAATATCAAATCTTACTAGAAAAATACTGGATTCCCTAAAAACACCCATGGACTAAAATGGGTGATTAGGGATGTCTGCTCGGGTGACGTCAAAGGTTGTATGCAAAAATTGTCTGATCCCTCAGCATTAGGGAGTGCTTGACTTATGGTGAGCGGACTAGGAAAAAGTGAGAGACTTAAACATACAACAGTTTCTGAGATAAAACCCACAGAAAAAGACATTGGCAGTGGATAATCTGAGCATTTAATTAGGCTTTGATATTTTTGACATCGTCTTGTATATGCAATTAGTTCTCCTGGAGACTTCTTTTAATAGATTTTTTATAGCTTGGGTTATTTTCTCAGGAATAATATGTTTTTAGAAGGATCTGAATCAAAATTTTGATAGATTAATTAGTTTGAATATGTTTTTAGTCCAAATATATCTTCAAATCACCCAGTTTGTATGTGGGAAGGTATCTTTAATAGGTGTTCTTTTTCAACACATTGTCTATTAATGTAGTAAAGAAAATTATTCTCTTTCATAAAACTGTTCCACCCTAATAAAGTGTTTGTTGATTAATGTTTTGCTCATTAATGGACGATTAACTGTGATGGGAAAAATTTTTCCTACCTTCTCGATTAATACATCCGTCCCCATGAGTAGTTCATGGTAGTTCAAGTAATCTGGAACCTTTTTGAAAGGCCATTGTAAATTTATTGATGCTACTAGAAGGGCTGATCAAAATGCTAAACGTTAATGCTTAACCTTTTTAGGGAAATAAAATAAAACAGATTATACAATCATCTTTCAATGTTTTTAGCAAGTGGGGATCAGTTTCCATAGTCTCAGAAAATATTGGATAAAACTAATTACCGCTACTCTTAATTTTCCATATTTGTTTCAGAATTTCTACAAGTGTTTAAAAATATTTTTTAAAATGTATATGTAATGAAGCATGAAATACATTCTGGATTTTCTTATATATTGTTTTAAAAAAATATGTCTTTCTACCTCTTTTTGCAGGGTTCATCCCTTACATATTACCCATGTCAGAGGGGGCACGAAGAACATTTAAGGTGGAGGAGGTGAGTTAAATCTAGATATAGTTCAAAGGTCAACCATGGCCCATCCCTAATACTACATACATGTATGTCCTTTTGTTAGTAAGCACAGGATATTTGCTATGCTTCATGAATCCCAACTTGTTACTATTTATAGCCATTATGAAACTACCATAGTCCATATCAAATTTAAATTTTTCACTGTGCGCAATTTTTCGCATCATGGGTAAACTCGTCTTCACACAAAATTGTAAGTGGCACATGCTTTGCGTTACTGTGTGCGAGGGGAATGAGGAGAAAGTATATAAGCAAGATTTTCTCTAAATGGTCATGGCCAAATTCTTTGACAAAATTGCTGCCTTTTATTTCTGTGTAAGTTTTATAATTTTTTTTATAATTATGAATTTTTTTAATTATTTTTAAATACATTTCAAATAGAATAGTCTTCATTATTAATTATTAGAGTGTTACATATACTTATTAAGAGAAAAAGTAATTCATAAGAAAATTGTATATGTAAAAGAAAATTGTATATGTAAAAGAAATATTTTTTTTAGAAACAAAACAATTTATATTTAACAAAAAGTGATAAACATATCAAATGAACTTCAGTTTGTATTAGTACTTCTTGGACATTCTACTGTTTATTTCTGTTTTATTTAAACAAGGTACATATAATTTCAAGTACTTACAATTGGTATTCATGATGTGATTAACACAAGAAAGTAAACACGAAAGGCTAAATATTTTATCGTCACCCTCAATTTTGTTTTGTCTCAATTCTGACTTAGCCATGCGTCTACATGAAATCAATAATAATCATCACCTATAATATCCAAGATAACCTACCAAGCATGTGAATTAAATCAGACTAAATGTCTAGACATGGAGTTCAGACATCCTATATTAACTAATTTCTCCAAAATAATTTGATTGAATTCTGATATTTGAAACCCTGGACAATACATATATATAAACCAATGTACTAATCAATAGAAGACGTCCCTGGAGTCTATTCATTTATTGTTCTGTTAGCTAACACTAATGTCCAAGTCAATACTAATAAACAAATTGAAAATAGACTAGAGATAATAAAAGTGGTATGATTGTTCCCCATTAATCAGGTGTGTAGCATATATTAACCTGTTATTCGTTTATAAACACCTTGTAGTAGATATTGGTGCCATGAAACTTGTCTATCCATGTTGAAACTTGCATGTCTGTAAATTGATTTTGGCCTTGTTTCAAGTAGAAAATTGACATAAGCTTGTCATATTGAACTGTACAGACTATCAAATAGGATTGTTATAATATACATGTATGGTAGGTCATTATTTTTACTTACTCATATATAGATATATATTTAGATGTAACATATAAAATTTCTTTTTAATAATTTTAGCCATAGATCTTTTTATATCGACATATATTTATACAATTAGTGAATAACATGTATTTTATGATAACAAAGCTACATGGTACCCATATTTATAGTTTTAAAGTGAAAAATACTGATATGAAATTAAAAAATATAATTAATGTTTTGGATACTTTAAAGATTGTCAGGGTATTTCAATTGTTTGATGGAGCCATTTTGACTAAGGAAGTAAGGCGCTGGCTCGCTAGCCTGAAGGTTGGGGGTTCGGGATTTTCCGGCTTTGTTTCCCCATGTCAGTGGCGCAGGACGGAGGGCCTGACAAGGACAGTTATCTAGTCATTTAGATGAGACGGAAAACTGAACCCCTGTGTATACATTGGCAGTGTGCATTTGATATAAGAGTAGGTTGTAGCGCCGCTGTCCGGACAAAATTTCCCTCATAGCACACTGTATGGCGTATGCCCATATTCATTAGCCCAGTCGGAGCAGAATAGTAGGATGTTAAACCCCATTTCATTTCATTTCGATCTTTGATGGGGTGTATTTTTATACGTCTTAAAGCTAAATACAACAGATTCAGATATTAAAGCTAAGTACATGTATGACAAAATATAAATATTATTTCTTCAGAAATTCACAAGTTCCATATTCATTATCCATGTTTATGCAAAATGGATAATGAAATGAAATGGTGTTTAATGTTCTACTCCAACGGGCGTACATTAAATTCCAACAGACAAGGGATCTTTTACGTGCATTTCAATGTGTACACGGGACCTTGGTTTTTCGTCCCATCCAAACAACTAGACAGCTGTCCTTGTCAGGCCCTCTGTCCTCCACCACTGACAAGGGGAAACCACACTGGAAATTTCCACTGAACTTTCTCGGCCAATGCAGGAATCAATCACGCGACCCCCAGGCTGGCTCCTAAAATGGATAATGAATGGCTGAAGAGTTATGAATGAGTCATTAGATACATTGATTTATCAATTTTTAATTTCTTTCTATTTAAATGAAATATTTTCAATTCACAATCATTTATTGAATCAAACTGTTTGTTGAGTCATTAGGATGTGATCTGTTTGAACATGTTGAGGAGATCTATTTAAATAATTTATTAGTAGCTGATAACAAGTCCAGGTGATGGCAGACAGCATGTCATTACTTTAATTAACGCCTGATGTCTATCCCAGTCCTAGTCTATTATTTATATACAACTTTATTAGTCTTTTATTATGACATTAATTGATTGAAGCTATAACTATATAGTGAACTATGGATAATTATGAGACACAACTTGTACACAAGCTTCTTAAAGAACAGGTATATGCTTGATATCTAGCTAGGTTCAACTATGATTTACAGATTTTAAAATGATAATTTTAACAGGATCGATAAAAAAAATATCTATTTAAATTTGATCTCAATGATTTTTGTTCAGCTATAGGTCTTATGTACTTGTCATGCATATGTTAGGGTATGCATACTGATTTTTAGAATTTATAGCTGATATCACTCATCAGCTATTTGGAAAGTTCATGTTTATTGTGTTTTTGGTCGTGCATTGGCATCTGTTTTTTCCCTTGATCACTTAGAAATCTTTTGTGGATGCTTTTAAGGGTGAAGTGACTTGAAATTAATACAATGTTTCTGTTCATGAAACAAAACTTATCATCCGATCTGTATGAAAATTTATAAGCATTATTTAAATTAGTAAAACGAAAAAGCCTGTTCAATTTCAACAATTTCTGTACATTACTGCCAGAGTTAAAGCCCTTGTTTCAGTTTGTAGAACCTTGTGAACTCTCAAATGATGAAAATTATAATCTGATCTGTATGAAATTGTCTTGTAATTGCCCCCAATTATCTAAAAAAGAATAAATATGTGACAACCCTTTTCGACTGCTGGGACGATTTAGCTGCTATGGGTGTATGTTACATTGCCTGGCAACCTATCTTGTTATCTATGAGAGGAACTAAAAGCCTATCAAATTTTTCCTATTTCTTATAATTACTTTATAGGTTTTACTCTTGATCAGTTTACTCTTGATTACCTGCAAAACAATAAAAATACAACCACAGTTATGGACTGCTTGGATGACTGCTTGCATTGCTGCATGCCATCCTATCTTTGTATTACAAATTTGGTGCTTTTATGGAATGACTAATGTCATGGATGTCACCTGTTGGGTTGAATTGATGATAATTGATAGATATAAACTGCATTGACATGTCAGTCAGAAGTGAGATAAGAGACAAGTTAATTGCATTATTTTTTACATTGAATGAATTGTGTTGATACATTATAGAGCTTATCTATTTTGTTCTTGTTTTTCCAGTTACCATCCATCATGGTGACATCTGACAGTGGTGCTTCACCGAATGATCCACCAGTAGAGAAATATATAGTAGAAGAAGAAATAACAGTAGGAATACCCCTGGTAGGTTATATTAAATTCTCTTTACCATTTTTATACGCCCACATGGAAGTGTGGACGTATATTGCCGTCGCCCCTGTCCGTCGGTCCGTTGTCCACAATTTCTTGTGAACTCCAAAAGTTTTAATCTGATTGTAACATGGGTGAGTACATTTACATACGAATTAATCAATACTCAGTTATCGATGTTTTGTCAATTGATTTTCTTTGATCTGCTTCATGATGAAAAAAATACCACAGATAAGTACATAACACTTTATTATTGCAAAGGACACAGATGCATATTAAAACAAACACAATTATCAATTTATTAAAACAACACTTTATTATTGGTCCGAGTAGTCATATTAAAACAAACACAATTATTAATTATTAAAAGTGGTCTTTTTGTTTGGTCTGAGTGGTCTTTTTGTATGGTCCGAGAAGTCTTATCAGTTGGTCCAAGTGGTCTATCAGTTGCTCGAAGTTGTCAGGGATTCATTTTATCTCATTATTTGATTATAGAAAATAAATGGGGAATGTCCTGGCTTGTACAAAAGATATTTTTGATTGATACTGTCATATGCTGGTACTAATATTGCTCAGGGTTCCCGCGGTCCTTGAAAATCCTTGAATATCCTTAAATTTAAAATTTCATTTTCAAGGTCTTGAATATCCTTGAATTTCGCGGAAATAGGAAAATATCCTTGAATTTCAGTTGAGATCCTTAATTTTGTTTCAAATGTCTTCAATTCCTTTTAAATATGAGATTATAACGATAGTTGGTAATGTTTTGGTTATTTTTAAGATGAAAAATTGTAACTTTAGGCTAAAAAATGTCCTTGAAAATCCTTGAATTTGACGTATATTTATCCTTGAATATCCTTGAAAAAATGTTTGACGAAGCAGCGGGAACCCTGTTGCTGAACTGCAGTTTTTATCATTGATAGAATAAGCACAATAATTTCATGCTTTATATTATTTCAAAGTCAATATTTTAATATATCTGTTTAAACGAATTGATTATTTTATTACTATATATAATTTATATCTGAGACATATGTTCAATATAGCAGCAGGTTGTCACTTGTTGTGTCTCTATCTAATCTATTTACTTTTACATGAACATACATGTATGTAATCTATAATAAACCATGCCTGTCTTAACACACATATCTCTTATAAGTAGCCTACTTTTTTTAGGTATCGATAATAATTTGTGCCAAATGAACTTAGATAATTTGTGAATCAGTCATCTGCAACATAGATTTTCTTAAGCTTTTACCATGTGGGGACATCATGACCTTCCCAATTGATTATATTGCAACTAAACCATGACTCAACATGATGATTTAAATTCATATCTCCACCAGCTGGCTCAATATTATCCTGTTTACACTGAATGAATGGATTTTTTGGGTGTTGAATTATGCATCAGTGTAAATATTGTGTTAGATAATAAAAATATTTGTTATTATTTATACTACAGAGTATTATTTATACTACAGAGTATTATTTATACTACTACAGAGTATTATTTATACTACAGAGTATTATTTATGTTACAGAGTATTATTTATACTACAGAGTATTATTTATACTACAGAGTATTATTTATACTACAGAGTATTATCATTTAGAAAAACATTCTTGTAAGGATAATCATCAATGTTTATTAATTTTATTTAGGTACGACCGAGTCCAGCATTTTTAGATGTTTTGCGATTAGCTGGTGCAAAAGTGGAAGTTTTCACTAAAAAAGAGGTAAATGATATTAGATGGAATATTTTAAATCTTCATTCTATTTTAGACCTTTCATGAAATAAGTTATTTACAGTTGTCAAATTTATATCTGTCTCTAATTTAGATCCATAGCTAAAGTTGTTTTTGTGTGTCTGTTGCTTAAATGACCAACCATATCATTTCTTAAATTAATTGTTTTTAGATTTGTCAGTATTTAAAAGATTATATTGGTGCCAGAAGATTATATGATGCGACCAATCCAAGAATAGTTTACTGTGAAAATGATCCGCTGGAAAAAGTATTTGGTGTTAAAACATTTACAATAAATGATGTGTTGTAAGTATATGATTTTAATTTGTTTACTGTGGGCGTCACTTGGGAAAAAGGTTGGGAGGAAGGGTCTTAGAATATTGGACTAATCGTATTTGATATAATGTGAGCATGTCACTAGTACCCACACATATATTCAAATATTAGATAATTTTGTTCTATTTGTTATGCAATGTCCGTTAAAACTAATGGAATATGGTCAGTCTTTTGTATCTAATAGGAAATATTTAAGGTATTAATTCATTGGAATCCTCTAATATATATTCCACTATAAACAAATACAGAAAATATCTTCATTTTGAAAGGCTCACAATTTCTAGACATCTAAAAATGTGCCAAAAATAATCCAAAACTTGATCAAATTCATGTAATCGATATTTGAATTGTATTTTAATGATGACCTCTAATACTATAGAAAAAGTAGCATTTGATATCACTACCACCCAGTGGATCCAGGACAACTCTGTTTTATTAAATGATAAAAAAAATCAGAGATTATTCAAAATAACTTCCATTTATTAAACAATATACCGGCTTTATAAGAATTCTTTACAAAACGTTAATGTAATAGATAATGTTATTATTTACAGAGATTTGATACAGAAGAATGTTAGCTGTGTACCGGATACTTGTATTAAACGTATGAGACAAATGGTCTGTAGAACAATGACTGTAACCACACCCACCAATAAATCTACAGCTAATACATGTAATCAGGTAATCTAAACTTAAACATCACAAGATTACAATAGTTGCAACTAATTTAAACTTAAACACCTTGATGGTTACAAGTAAATTGAAATATACAGAGAAGACAACATTACATATCAAGGTACATGTTAAACAGACCTAACTTAAGCATCTTGAGATACCTGCCAACTTAAACATCTCCAGATCCCTACCAACTTAAACATCTTTAGGTCCCTACCAACTTAAACATCTCCAGATTCCTGCCAACTTAAACATCTTGTCAACTTCAAACACAGCTTGGTTTTATAGATAAAAATCATTAATTGATGTATATTTGTTGTTACTTTTTTAGATTCCGGTTATTCCATCTTCTCAGACATCTTTTACAATAGCCACTTGTAAATCTACACCTATAATAACTAGTACAACTAGTACATTAATATCATCATCACGTCATCGATCACCTAAACAACACTCATCTAAAACAGATACAGACGATAATTCTTCTAATAGAAAACGTAAATATGGTAAGTATTTCACTAGATTTTATGACACATACATTTGTTGGCATAAGAGAAGTTTAATATTGTATTGCATAAAAAGTCTGATCACACAATGAATATCAGACACATAGTTTTTTTTATCTTAATTCCATAAATTCTAAATATTCTCCACAGTTGGTTCTTCTTGAATTGATCAGATGGATGATCAGCAATAAATTCTCAGCATTTCTTGAATATCCTGTTTATTTCGCATTCATACTGAGATTTAGATGTATTGATGGTTATATCAAAGCTGATTTGATTATTCATAAATTTGTAGCTTAGGTAATGATTATTTTAGTCAGCATATAAATTGAACTGTGTTGTCAATAAACATCAGCCAGCTAGCCATACATAAAGTGATACAATTATAAGAATGTATATTTCATATGTAGTCCTTGTGACATCATGCACCATTCAACTGGATTAGATTTAAAAGTGTTTTAGAGGGTCTTACACATAAACAGTCATATATTTAATAATTTTAATCAGATTGATGTGAAATTGGCGTGAAGTATTTTATAATAAACACTGGCTTCGAGTATATACCACTTTTATATGGTCATTTTATGGGCTCTTAAAATTTTGTTGCATCTAAATTATCTTGAAAGAAAATTATATAAGCTAGTTAGATTTAGCATACTACTGTATATCATGTCCCTGTGTACATGTAAAATCTTGTTGGCAAAATGCATTAAGGGCAAGTTAATGACTATTATGTAAAAATCAGATGAAAAGATAATGATATCAACCATGCTTTCTAAAATATATTGATTTCAAGTTAATAAAAGAGTCAGGCATATTATTAAAGTATCTTCAATAAAAACTTGCTCTATGATGTCTAATTAATCGTCATGACAACCTGTAACTTACATTATATCTGATGTAGTATAACAATGGCTACCTATATTTAATGGTTTATGAAAATTGATATGTGGACATACAATAATGTAATCAATATTAGTAATATCCTTACTGATGGTAATTTACATTCTTCTATTACATCTTAAACATACATGTCTAATAGAGGTTTACATGAATGGTTTGGTTTTTAGAAAATCTCTGGGTAGGATAATTGGATCATCTTGGCTGGGTAATATAGCCTACACTTTGATTATGATAGCGCAAAAGTAACTTCAATTGTGATAAACAGGCCTATGTAGATATTGATCTCAGAAATAAACTTTTTGTTATAAAATTTATAAAAGTTTGACTTTCTTATTTTATTTATCATGTTCAGAATAGGATAAAAATTAAAATGAAATGAGGTTTGAAGTCCTACCTTTCTGTGCCAACTAAACTAATGAATACAATAATAGAACTATCTAAACACTGATGATTTGACAAGCAAATTTCAAAGCACAATCTCAATTATTGCCATTAAATGTATACAAAAAATGTAAAAAAAAAAAAATTGTGTATGTTCATGACATGCTGAAACTGATATTTTCTTTCAGAGTTATTGCTCTATATCACTTGTACACCTTTTGTGGAGTCTCTACTGACAAAAAATTATTATGCGATTGAAATTTATGCACTGCGTTTATGTTCATGAGACGACATCTTAAGTTAGGATCTGATTACTGGTACATGTACATTTTTTTTATAATAAATGTTAGCACTATGAAGAACTAGAAGCCAATCAAATTTTAATTATTTTTGAGAATAACTTCATGGGTTGTTACACTTCATCAGTTTTTACCTTCACAATAATAAATATGCGAAACCTTTGTTGACTGCTCGGATGTATGTTATGTTGCCTTGCAACTACATTTATTTTATTGTTTAAAAATCAAAGGAGTAAAAGTTGTGAATGAACTTGTTTTATGGAAACCATCAAGTTGGGTGTGAGATGTCTGATCAGGTGATGACATGTAATGACATGTTCATTGTTAAAAGGTCACATATGTATGACAGTATTCAATTTCAACCAATATCTGTTATCGTGAATAATTGATAGTGTTTGACCTTTACTTCATGTAATTACAATTAGCTGGGATCAATATACTATCAATAATCTTATTGTTCTCAGATATTAACATACTATCCGTATAAAAAAAAACCTGAATGATATAATAGATTTTATACTTGATATGAGTGACTATTATAAAATATATCATAACTTTTTGATCATAACTTGTTTGTTGTATGTATGACAAATAGTACATTTATGAACAGGATTAAGGAAATAGAGATAATATATTATATTGTTAAACTAGTTGAAGTTTTTATTCTATGATTTATATAAACATATAAAGTTTATCACTGTATAAAGTAGGGTGACCCACCATAAATAAATATCTCCAAATATCTCGACAATTACGCCACAATATTTATATATATGCCAAGCCTCAAATCAGTTTCACACAATTATAGTCACTAAATAAACGATCATGTTGTACTTAATTAGCTATGACCATTAATCATCTATAAATAATAGACTGAAAACTGGTTCCAAATGTCGTCCATAACATCCAGACACTTTTGAGTAAAAGATAGGTTACCTGCCCTTGTTTTGAAATTAGTCTCGCTTAACCAGTCTATCGACCATTCTACGTCTGATTGACAGGTCGGGATAATCAAGACTACTTTTTTACGAAACATAACAGAAAGCTAGAACAAGAAATTGAATTTAGAAATAAGCACTTTAGACAACTCAACAATTGTTTTAAGAAACTTGTAAAAGTAAAATGAAACTACAGCTAGTATCACGTTCCTGCTAAAGAAAGTGATTCAGAGATAGTATTTGTACTAAACCAAAAGATGCTGCTCTTAACGGTACAGTTAAGGATAAAGCAATTTAAAAAATAAAACAAACGTAATTTCTGAAGCTGCTGTAATAACCAAGAAGTTAAATTTTACTGCTATTCAAAATTGTCAACAATAGATTTTTTACGGCTGCAATAGTTGATATATTTGTAGAGAATTGCACGTGCCATGGCTATTTATCGACTCAAAGAGAGTGCGGGGTAGTCACTGAAGCGTGCACATTTAGCCGTGTCGAGACCAACTTTCTGTAGAGTGCACGGGTCACCCTATATAAAGTCAAATAAAAACCTTCAATAGAGATCAATATGTTTTATAGTTGCCAGATTTTTATTCTATGATTCATATAAACATACAATGTATAAAGTAAAATAAAAATCACAAAATTCTTCAAAACTACTAAAGAAATCAAAAACTCTTAAACATACATATTAAGAAGCAGGATCTATTATGTGGCAAAAACAAAATAATAAAGCGTTAAATTAGAATAATCTCCCACAATCCCCCGTCGAAATGTCGCATAGTAATAAATTCAGTAATTGTGCATCCATAAAATTGTACCCTGTGTTAATATGTTCAATTATTAATTGCTTACCAAAGACCTTAGGTTAATCAGTCGACTGGTATGTATACTATTCAAAAAAAGTAGGGGATATTTGATTTTTAAGTGTTATTAAAGTCACCTAATGAAACTGACGAAGAAACAAATGACAAAATGAAATGAAGTTCACATTCATCGATTTATTCCAAATGATCGTTAGACTAAGTAAGGCACAGACTGACCATTATAAGGGTAAAATGATACCCGGGGTCAAACAGCAAAGTTACCACAGCATCACAACCAAGTCAGTAACGGGTAAATCCTCCTCTGTTTGCCAAACAAGCATTGATCCGACGTGGCATACTCCTAATGAGACGTCTAAGGTCATTTTGGTCCAGATTGTCCCATTCCTGTTGCAACGCAGCAGCAAGTTCTTGGACATTGGCAGGACGTTGTTGACGTTGACGTAACCTCTGTCCAAGCATGTCCCAGACATTCTTGATGGGGGAGAGGTCGGGACTCAGTGCTGGCCAAGGTAATGTGGTGATGTTCTGTTGTTGGAGGTAACCTGTAACGATCCTGGCCCTGTGACATCTTGCGTTGTCATCCTGGAAGATGAAACGGCGGCCATGACGTCGTGCGAACGGCACAACATGGACTGCCAAGATGTTGTCCCGGTAGTACTGGCCTGTAACACGCCCTGCAACAACATGTAAAGCCGTTCTTCCAGCAACAGTGATGCCTCCCCACACCATAACAGAACCACCCCCAAATCGATCATGTCTGATGACGTTAACGTCTTGGAAGCGCTCGTTTCGACGACGCCACACCCTCCTACGTCTGTCCAAAAAATCAACAGTGAACCTTGACTCATCTGAAAACATCACATTGCTCCAGCGTCGATTATCCCAGTGTTGACGATCCCTACACCAACGACGTCTTGCCTGAATGTGATGATCTCTCAAACAAGGGATCACGCGAGGACGTCGGGCGCGAAGGTGACCACTCACTCTCACACCAGTGTCTGTTTGAAGACGAGCGCTGATCTGATTTGCTGTGATGACACGATTTCTCAAGGCCAAGGTACGGATAAATCGATCCTGGGCTTGAGTTGTCGCCCTTGGTCGACCTGAGCGTGGTCTGTCCTGTACAGATTGTGTATCACGGTATCTGGACCATAGCCTGCTTATGACAGACTGAGAAACATTCATCGTCCGCGCCACAACCGCCTGTGTTGTGCCGATCTGTAGCATGCCAAGGGCACGTAACCTTTCATTTTGGGTAAGCCGACGCATATCAAAATTTGTTTTCTGGTCACTAAAACAATTAAACTGATGTTTCCACCCTGGAATTCAATGCCACAATGACTGTAACATTCAAAGTCAGAGTCGTGCAAATCTTGGGTTGGACCCCCATGATGATCCCAAGCATCACCTGCATTCCATGCGGTAGCTATTGGTGCGTTTGGGCGTCACATGTAACTGGAAATGTTTCTTCTGTTAGGTTCTATAGTGACTTTTTTCGTAGTCATTTGCATATTTTAGTATTATGCCCCCAAAATCAAATATCCCCTACTTTTTTTGAATAGTATAATTAAGTTTTCGTTTTGATGGAGTTACTGAAGAGTTGCCTGTTTCTTTCCAGATCTAAAATATTAAAATTTAAAAATTACAGATTGATTGATGCAACACTATTAAGAAATAAACAAGCAGCTTGCCGATTCTCTGAATTTATATTTTGATGATATTATTTCAGGTGCATCAAGTGACCCTACAGACAATCATCAAGTACGTAAGAGAAGAAGATCACTAAATGTTACGTATAGTGATTCAGAGACAGCATCCTACCCTTGGTACTTTCATGTTAAAATGGGAACATCAGAAGCTGATAGTGAAAAACTTAGTGTACAGGTACAATAATATTCTGATATATATGTAAACTGTCTTGTATCACAGGACATACAGGATAAATATTCATACTTCAGGTTTAAAATAAATATGAATTCCAATAATCTGTGAAGTTTGAAACAAATATCTGTTATTGAATGTTGTCAATTTAAAACGAATCTGTTTGAGGTTCTTATGGTTTTTATACGCCCACATTGAAATGTCGTTGTATATTGTAGTCGCCCCAGTCCATCCGTCGTTCCGCCCAGCGTCCACAATTGCTTGTGGACACTCTAGAGGCTATTATTTTCTGATAATTACTTAGTGAGTTGTTACTCCTTATCAGATTTTAGTGTATTATAAATGTTTCATTACCGACAAATTCGACAGCTCTTATTGACTGCCTGGACGATTTAGCTACTGTGTTTTTATGTTTCTTTGTCTGGCAACCTATCTTTAAAATAATTCTAAAGATGATATTTTGTATTATTTCCTTGTATTTATAAACACATCAAAGCATATTAATAATCATGACTACCAGTTATTGCCCCCTGACCACTTAAAAGCCATGTGTCATAATGGTGCTTGTAAGTGTATATTTGTTAACTGTATTTATTGTTATATTTTTGTAGGATAATGCAACAGTAGTTGTAGAAGATTCAACAGATGATATGTGGTTTGTAGAAGAAGATACTATATCAGTACAGTATGATTCAGATGCTTTCTCTGTAGAATATGATGTACAATCAACAGATAGCTATATATCAGACTCAGATTGTAGTTCTATATGTTCAGGAAAGGTATATAATGCTTCTTCTTTCATCTTGTTTTTAAAGCACTTAATACTCAGTCAATAAATGAAAATGATATTAAATGGGGTTTAACATCTTATTTTTCAAAAACAAGGGCTAGTGAATACAAGAAGATCATGTAGTGTGCTAAGAGCCAAGGCAGCGGCACTAAAGTCTACACCTAATTTGATTTTCAACTTTTAAGGGATCCCTAATGTGTGGCCATTTGTGTAAGTGAGACCTAAGCACTGGAAATTTGATTTAAAAAATATTTTATATTCCTGAATCGCAAAATCCCTTTCTTGGTTAACTGAATATGGATCATAAAAGAACAATCAAAACAGTATTTAAATCTTCCTTAAAACATCCATGTAGATGAGAAGACCTGGTTTATTATTAAATAACGCTTGAAATAAAAACCTGTCAAGAACTTTCAAACAATGATTTTGTATAATTTGCAGGATATATTTGTTATGTGCAATGACAGTGATGTAGAATTTTGGGCAGATTCAAGTGGAACTGATATTGAATCAGACCCAGAAATTCCAGATTCTGTAAGTTTTCTTATTAGCTAAATTGACATCTACATGTACCTTATTTTTCCCTTCCAAATGTGAAAATAAAAAGATTATTAGGCAACATATAAAGTTGCAATTATCTTCTACATTTAAGAATATTTATTATACAGATGTGGCATCATCCCTTCAAATAATGTATAGGCAGTGTGCCAATCATACATTATTTATACTAGATGAAATATTGGACTGGCCTGAGGACTTCAATGAAATGCACAGGCAGGATAGTGTCTGATAATATCCTTAAATGACATTTAACACAACTTTATGGATTTACTACTTCTTGGTTTGTTACATGCATCGTTTCAATAAAGTTGTGTTATTACAAATAGGATATTGTCTGTATGTTAAGTTGTTTATTGTTTAAAGCAAGACATTGCATAATATATTGATACTGCATGAGGGCTTTAAACCTAACTTACACAACCATACTTATATTCCAATGATTGCAAAATACAAACTGTTCTCACCTTTTTAGTATCTCTGTCCTTCCATCCTGATTTTCTTTCTGGAGCACATCTTAAAAACTATTCAACTACTAGAGTGTTTGGTGTACAAGGAGACAGGATATTGATGAACTGAGTCTACATATAATGAATTATTTTCTCACTCTTATTAAAGAATTTGTTCAAATATTTTAGGATAAATGGACATGTGAAGAATGTGAAGAGAGAAACACACCTCGTCAAGCGTACTGTCGTAGATGTTGGAAAATGAGACCTGGCTGGTTTGCCAAGAAGGGAAAGAAAAAAGCCTGCATGAAAAGATCATTGAAGCGATCGTTTTCGGCACCCAGTGGAATGTCGTCTTCAGAAAGTAGTGATAGTTCTCATCATCGTTACAATCCGTCCAGATTGAACCATCACTCATCCTCAAGTTTATTATCTTCCGACAATTCACCACCCGTGTGCAATAGATTGTTATCACACCCCGTGTTATTAAATATAGGCGGCTTATCAAAAGGCGTTAGTGTTACAAGGGATGATTCCGGGATTAGTCTAGCATCAAGTTCTGTTCTTCAGTCCAGTCAGGAAAGAGGGTGTTTTAGTCAGGAAAGCATTTCCTTGTCTCCGATAGTTAGAAATACCCTCTCCAACTTTCAGATAATGGAAAGTTCAAGTCAGATTGAAGAGGACTCGTTAGTGAAAAGTAATAATATTGCTGAACCTGAATCAAACTCGGGTAGTGAGTTAAACAAATTAACTAACGATAAATATATCTCATCTGCTATTTTAATTTCTGATTCTGGTGCTAAATCGACTTTTGTGGAACCTTCAAAACCTAGTAGAAATTCTAAAAGTATTTCCAAGAACAATGCAGAAAAAACTGTGAGTAAAAACACAGCAGACGTATGTGTTGTTTGTGTATCTAGACCTAAAACTGGCAGCATAATACATGGTAGTTCGGGTCATCAGGTCTGCTGTTTTAAGTGTGCTAAACAACTTAAAAGAAGGAAAAAGCCGTGCCCTGTGTGTCGTCGACCCATTCAAAAGGTTGTGAGAAACTATTTGTTGTGAATTTTAAATTATTTAACGTCCGCTTCCTGTAATCAAATGTTACAATCACATCAGTGATTTAATCATTGTATACATGTGGGCCCTCATTCACGAAAATTTAAACTAAAATATAAGTATTTGGGTTTTTGATTGACTGAAAAATTCAATTATTAGTAAAACCTGCATTTTCCAAATATTTTCATTTAAGTTTTTGTGAATAAGACCCCGGTTATTTAATTTTCAATATTTATTTTATTTTTATTTTTAATGTCATATTTCATTACATATATGTATCAAATATGTTTATTGTATACATACATGGAACTATTGTTATTCCTGCCATTTATTTAAAGTAAACTGCTTACATCACATTTATCATGTCCAAAGTTAGTTGAGCATAATTAAGTCATCTATTTTTATCTCATAGTTTTGATATTTCTAAGATCAGGAAAATTATAATTGCATAGTAAGCCCAGAACATAGTTATATAAATTTAGTTGTCGTGTTTCACAGTGAAAAGGCTTTTTCACTGGTTTGACTATTAGTGACAATTTACGATGAAGTAAAAACATAGTGTCAAATAATACATACAAATATAGCTTTTTCCAATGTAATTCCTGATGACTGGGGTTTTTTTGTAAAAATTTGTCAGATAATTTAACAAAATTTCAATTCATTTTGACATTTCATACTGATTATGTTACCAATTAAACTTCAAATGAAACAAAATTTTGATTATGAGCTGTGAAATGATGTATTATTCGTATATGGACTTCTTTTATTTCTACAAAGATTGTTAAATTAATTGTGAATTAGAAATGAAATCTGATATTATGGTCTTTCAATGTAATAAATTAAAATATTTAAACGGAACATTGTATGGTCTTTCAATGCAATAAAAAATTTAAACTAAACATTGTATTGTGTGTGTATGTACTGAAACAATCTGTTATGAATTTTCCCTCACTAAGAGACCCGCTGAATATCGATTGACTTCGTCCTCTCATGACCACCAATCTGAAAAACATCTGTCAAAATCTATAGCCTCTATGAGTTCACAAGCCAATTGTTGACCGACAGGGTGACAACCATTATGGCACAATGTGTGGGTGTATAAAAATTAAATAAAATTTGTGATTTCCAGAGGCTCCACAAGCTAAAATGTTTAAAATTGGTCCCATCCAAGATCTTTGGGATATAAACACATTTTGAAGTTAAATCAAAATCAGATAAAAATTGTGATTTGTAGTGTCCATAAACAAATGTGAAGGCACAGGGGCAACAACATAATACTTGTCCACATGAAAAACGCAATGGTCAACTCTCTTTAAAAATTTTATCACTAAATTATGACAGGTTTGACTCTTATTATGATTGTAAGAATGTTGAAAAAGACCCCATTATATGCCAAGAAATAGCATGGATTTAAAATTTAGTGTCAATGGGGATATAACTACCATCGTATGCTATGTACTCTTATATGAATGGGTTTTATATGTACATTTTTTGTAAGACGCTGGCACGCTAGCCTGGAGGTCGGGTGTTTGATACCTGCATTGGTCGAGAAAGTTCATCCAGATTTTCTGGTGTTGTTCCCCCTTGTCAGTGATGCAGGCCGGAAGGCCCGACAAGAACAGCTATCTAGTCGTTCGGATGGGACGTAAAACAGAGACCCTGTGTACACATTAGCATGCACGTAAAAAAATCCCTTAACAGTTGGAATTCTATATAAGAGTCATGTTCCTGAAGCAACGACTGCGAGTTTCACAATATCTGGCCGTTGCTTGTTTACTTCACAATTCCCGAACTTATAACTATGTTATCTACAGACACGCGAGCAGGAGCGTCCAATCAGAGTTTGTGACATCGCGACCTCCACGGAAACCTTGACATTGAATGAACCTTGAACTTTGCAACTCGATTATCACAGGTGGACATTTTACCTTGAAAGCTCGAGACTTGGTATTCGCGACGATCAAGGAATCTGATAGGCTCACAAGTTGGGCTTGTACCCAGTCGAAATTAGTTCCGCAATATGCAGGGTATTACGTGAAGCCCTTGATAAGATGTATGTAGATAAAGCCTTCTATTGAAGATGTATAAGAGTAGGCTGTAGTGCCGCTGTCCAGGCAAAATTTCCCCCAAAGCACACTGTATGACATATGCCTGTCTTGATTAGCACAGTTCGAAGCAGAACAGGAGGAAGTTAAAACCAGTTTCATTTCATTTCTCAGGTTTTATACGTATCAGCATATTTTGTCTTTGGTGAAAGTCCAGATGTTTAGTTCTCTCTAACAAGCTATCACAATGAAACAAAGTACCAATAATTGTTGATAATAAAGGTTGAGCCAGTGTATATAGTGCTGGATAATTAACCAGGATGTCACGGTTTCAATCTATTAGTTAATCAAGAAGTGCCTCAGGTTTTTCCAGAGGTGCCTGGCAAGGAAGGTGTTCACCTATAACAATCATTGAATTGTAATTTGATGAAGGATGGGCAGAAACGCCACTGTCTGGGCAAATCATTAGTTGTCCATTTCATCATTAATACAGCACAAAATAGATTACATCATTAAATTCCTTGTAATAATCCTGGCTATTATGAAGTTATTCTAATATTTAAAGGTTTAATTGTTTGGTCTCTTATAGAGAACAAACCCACAACAAAATGTATATATTGTAGATAAGGAATCAAAATGTTTAATCTGCAGTTTGTGTCACACATCAGACAGGTCATCATCCTGCATCAACAAGTTTTGACCGATAATAACATTCTAAGAAAGTTTAAAGGAAAAAAAACAATTTCGGTAAATGTATAATATACATATTTTAATATCGATAGATGTAGTCCAGTGTATGTATATGCAAATTATTTTATAGAGATCAGTAACACAATAACACATGTCAATAACCATAGAAAGAACGATGACAAATGCATAACAAATTTCTAAAATTACATAAATTACGTTTCCAAAAATTGCATTAGAACTTTTTTTTGTCTGTATAAAAGTGAAAAATCAATATTCTTCTTGGAGATAATATTAAATTTCAACATGTCTCATAAATATATAGTAAAGAGTTGCACAAATGTAAACTGAGCTTGGACAATATTTCGTTTTAGAAATACACTAAAACACACAGGACATGAGTGCTTGAAAAACAACCAGTGAATAAAGTGAAAGTGGAAAATTATAAACTTATAACTATTGACAAAACCATAAAATTATATATGTTGTCAAATCATAGTAGTATAGCACTTTACTTTGTAAAAATTATATACCAAGACATACTGATAAACAATAACAAAATCTGTTTATATTCAAATAGACCACTGCAATATATAAGTAATAAATTCTTCAGCGAAAAATGTGCCATCAACCACATAATAATGAAATATGAATATATACACAAAACACCAATGATTCAAATTAATTTTAATAGTATATACAATTAAATAAAGATGTATTTCGACAAATAATGATAACTATTTCAATTGAGTGATAATGTGAGACAATCAAAATAAAATGATCCTTATTGCCTTTAAGTTCAAGTTTAACATTGCGATTACATTGCATTCTAAAATTAAACAGATCCAAATTCATTCATCCATTTTTCATATTTTTCTAAATCTTCTTTCGACACACTCTTGTTAACTTTGACAATGGCTTCATCAAAATCTTCTAAAGTAGCTGGAGCAATCAGTTCATCACGCGGAATATTCTTGATTTCATCAGGTCGTAAACCTCGTATCCTCTTACGGAATGACATCATGGCAGTATCTCTGTGTACAAAACATAAATCATGATGAGATAAATGTAGTGCCTTGAAATTTGATATTTGTGAGTATATTGTACTTTGTCAAAATAAAAACATAAAAATAAAACAAAACCTCCCACATCAGATTTTGGGGAAGGATTGTCTGAGAACCAGAATATTTTCTTTATATGGCCTGACATTGATTTCAGAGTTTCAATGACAGATAATAACTCCATGGAAAATATACATATTTGAATACTGTTTATAGACCAAAGGGTGACAACAATATGCATTTTATGAATAACTGAATAAATAATTTATGAAAGTACTTACCTGCAAACATTAGTAATATCTGCACCAGAATAACCATCTAGTTTTATAGCAACCTCTTTCAGATCAACTTCGTCACTTATTTCAACTTCTCTAAGATTTATATTTAACAACTGTATTCGTCCTTCAACTGTAAATACACCACAGAATGTCAAACACATACCATATTTTTTGGTGTATTAGGCGCATGCGTAGATAAGGCGCAGGGCGAGTTTGGCAGAGGTGTTTCAGGGAATAATAGAAGTGCATGGTTTAGGCAGCGCCTTGTGGAACATGTGCCATACCATAAGTGACTCAAATACACCTGCCATCTCCAGTTCCAAACTCTACGGTTTACAGTTATAATAATTACCGATATTTAGCTGTATCAAGCTTTATATATATTTCTTTATGAAATAACAAATTTTATATACAATTTTTTAATTGCATAAGACTTTATATTAATCATAACTTTTAATTGCTTTGTTTCATAACTGAAATGGTAATTCTGGCGCTCGTATGGTAGTCAAATTGTCGTTTAAGTCCCGCCCACAACAAACATCAGCGTCTATTACATCCTGTTGAATTCACAAGCAATTGGCTGTGATAAATGAATAGGTATTGATGATAAACAAATGAAATAATAATGATCAGCTACTCTTAACTTAAATCCTGACTACCGGTAAGAGAAAAAATAATTCTAGTTTATTTATACTATCCAAACAACTAACAATCAAACGGTGGCGTCCATTGCCAATTAGATCTATCAGTAACATAATACAATATTATTTTTAATACCAATCAAAGAAACAATGATTTTGTGAACTACAAACAACTTCATAAAGCATATGGTGACAACTACTCACGGTAGATAATTAATGAAACCTGTCAATTATAACAATGGATCAATCAATGAATCTATGTTGCATGAAAACTAGCGGTAACTTGAAACGGCTAGATGTAAAATTTACAGCAATGTATGAAAACTAGCGGTAACTTGAAATGGCTAGATATAAAATTTACAGCAATGTATAGAAAATACCAACAAACCTTCTAACAAATTTTAAAAATGATTTATTCAGAATGGTTAATTATAGTTTCAAATTCTGACTCGTCTTCATCAAAACGGAGGCGATGTATTCAGGTGTTGTGTAATACAAGTTTTAATTAAATAATCAGAACAGCTTGATTAAACTAATCAATCTGATTAAAATACACATCTATATTTCCTTTCATTTTTTTATACTTTCGATGGCATCTACTACATGAAGATCTGACCAGTTGTAGTGGGACGTCGTGTCTGATGTCATACGAGCGGCTTTTGACCCATGACATCAGACATTTGATTAACCAATCAGCATTGATGTTTCTAGTGGTTTACCCACAGTTCAGTGCAACTCACGCCATTTTAACAGACCATTTGATTGGCTAATCACTCATGTCATCCAGAACGCGGGATATCTAACACATATCCTAGTGTAGTAAAGACAAGTGAAATGAAAATTTGAACTATATAAAAAAAAAGAAACGAAATAGGATCTGTGTTTCAATCAGATTGTTAAACTAATTTACATATCATAATTAAAAACTGTAGTTACCACTAGGTAATGGAATGTAGATTCTTTTTTCCAGACGTCTTCGTAAAGCTTCGTCAAGGTCCCATGGAAAATTTGTAGCTGCTAACACCATGACTGTTTTAGTTGGATCATCTCCACAAACTCCATCCACACCTTTTAAAAATTAAAAACACAAACCATTGGAATTTTCAAAACAAGTCTAATAATTTCAAAGATAGGCTAATATCTGTTCACACCAAATGCCATATGATGAATTTACTTCATACTGTTTTATTTAGAAATAAAATGAACTCTTTACCCTAGAGTGTCGAAAGGATCCTGAAAAACAAGTCTGCGAGTGATAACCAGAAACTGTTCAAATTCTACTGGATTCTTTGTTTTACTAAAAATAGTAAAAACAGATTGGATGATACATGTAAGCTCTTTAGTAAACAATAATTAGTTCATTTAAGATATAGGTCTTACCATCCATCTGTACGAGTAATTCTGATTTTACTCTTCTACTGGCTTCATGTTCAGTATCTGATCCACGTTTGGCACAAATAGAATCTATTTCATCTACAAATATGGTGCTTGGAGCATAAAATCTAGCCTACAATAAAAACATTTGATGCAAGTTGAAATAATACTACAAAGTAAGATCATTTGTCAAGTCTGTAAACTTGCATAAAGAAACTAAACTGTACCCAGATTTGGAGTTTGTGGTCTAAGGGGAGACAACTCATGTCATATTACCTCCCTTGGAATTGACTATACATTTTGTACAAATTTGATTTATTACAGTATACAATAACAAAAAAAATATAAAAAATAACAGAAAATGTATTTTAATGCCTGCTTTGTTTATCTAAAAGCTTCAACATAATGGGATTTTTTAAAAATCAATACAAATACCAAAATTACAAAAAGGGCTATTTTGTTTCCCCAATTTGTAAGAAAAATAGTTTGGCTGAAAGATGCTAATTGTTTTTAGTGTATTACATTCTATTTTGTAAAACAGGATTTTCTGAACCTAATAAATAATGAATGAATTGGGTAAAGATCTAGCTATAAAAATGGGAAGAAATGCTGCCCAATATTATTTTAGGATGAAACATAGAAAAATGAAACAGATGAAGATATTGAGTTTTTAATGAATTGATGAAATAACTTTATATCTATATTATGAATATTCTATACCAATTATATATTTATATTGAAAACATGAACATTTATCTATTATCTATCTAATCCTCACTATATTAGATCTTGATTATTTTGATTCACTTAAATCAGCAAAATTATAAAACAAAAAAAAACTCATTTATCTAACATGTCAATTAATACAGTATCTCTATGGTTACAGATAAGTGATCTTAAAGTTGAGTCAAACACTAAAAATTATTATACACTCTATCATGCATCAAACTATTTAGTGAATAAAACATCCTGTATCGTCTTCCGCTTTTTCATAATTTTAAAAGTATTACAATGGCTTTCAGTGACAACCAAAGTCAGTTTTTTCTTCAGCCCAGTTTGGGTGTTTCCACTGGCAAGATTCTCAATCAAGAAGCTTTTCGCTTATCCTTCAATTTTTAGTGAGATGGCATTAATACTAACGATAATGGTGGTATTGAACATGAATAAAAAGTCAATGAAGCACCACAATTTGACTGATTAAACCGGGCAAAGTGTCAAATTATTCACTGTTACTCTGATATTGTTTATTTTTTTCAAATATACATACAAAAAAATCATCTGGCAAAATTTGGATTTTGAAGGAATAATATTGGGTATATTAGTGGGATTTAGAAGTGGGAGTATCCAGGAGACTACTGACAAGGTTAAACAGTCAACACTACTCCTTGTCATGAGAGATTGAAGCCATGACCCTTGCACATGTATAGATAACTGAGGACTTATAATCTACAGTTCATGCATTAGACCACCTAATATATTATTTTTACAGATTAACAACACTCTTTTCAATACAACACTGGATTAAAAGATAAAATACACACAATTTTATAAACTTGCAAGAATGAAGAAGGCATATTAGTAATTTTATGAATTGTTAGCTTTAGTGAACAGCAATATTTGGTGAAATTATTGTCTGATTAGTATTAAGGTGGACAATCATTCCACTAAAACTATGCAAACTGCAAGCAGGACTAAGCTATAGATGGTTAATATATTATCACACCACATGCCACCTACCATCTCAAACAAGATGCGAACTAGCTTTTCAGATTCTCCATGATACTTTGATGTCAAAGACGATGTAGACACATTAAAAAAGGTAGTTCGGCATTCTGTAGCAACAGCTTTAGCGAGTAATGTTTTGCCAGTGCCTGGAGGTCCGACCATCAACACTCCCTGATTACAAGGAGAGAAAACAAGGGCATGCAACTATGTTAGAATTATTAGGATATATATATATTTGGATCCGCATATTGTGCTTACCATTTCAAAGAGCAGACGAACAAGTTTCTCTGATTCTCCTCGGTATTTTGAAGTTAAACTTGAAGTGGAGACATTAAAAAATGTAGTGCCACATTCGGTTGCCACAGCCTTGGCTAGAAGTGTTTTGCCTGTTCCAGGTGGACCCACCATTAGCACTCCCTAGAAAAAATGGTTTTCCTGCCAGTCTTTGGACATACATATAGTAAATATTACATTCAATAACAATTACTAAAACTTACTTTTCAGTTATGAAAATGGTACAATAAATTACACAATTATAATTGAATGGCTTACAGTCAATGCTCCCTCTTAAGCTCTGCAAACAAGTTTGAAGACATACAATAAAAAAATCTTCTAGTTTTCATTTTTAGACTCTGATTTACCAATACTATTTTGTGAGACAGATTGATAGGATGTCTACATTTGTAAAAAATAAAAACTAGGGGGAATGTTGCTTAAAATATACTTTAAAAATTCCGTTGGAAGTTTATTTTGATCAAATCTTCAGTTACTTACTTTCCAGGGGCGTCGTATTCCTTTAAAGAAATCTGGCACTATAAGAGGTAATACCACAGCTTCTTCTAACAATTTCTTAGCTTCAACTAGCCCTGCAATATCATCCCTACAACACACAAACAAAACATCAGTCACCAACAAAACAATGATAAGTCTTTAAATTAATCAGAGGCTAAGCATGTAAGGTGCTAACTAGCTCACAGGTCTTGGTTTTATCCCAGTTTTATCCAAGAAAGTTCATCAGGATTTCCAGTGTGGATTTCTCTCGGTCATGGTGCAGGGAGAGGGACCTGGCAATGAAAACCAAGGTCCTGTGTAAACTTTGGATTGTAGGTAAAAGCAATCTGATTAAAATACAGATCTATATTTCGTTTCATTTTTATACTTTCGATGGCCTACACTACATGAAGATCTGACAAGTTGTACAAGCGGCTTTTGACCCTATGATGTCAGACATTGATTAATCAATCAATTACCCATAGTTCTGTGCATGGCACGACAAGAAGTCGCTGTAACAGACCGTTTCATTGGCTTATCCCCCACTACAACCAAAACGCCAGTAATATAACAACTCTTCCAGATCCTAGTGTAGTAAAGACAAGTAAAACGAAATTTTGAACTATAAAAAACGAAACGAAATAGGATCTGTGTTTTAATCAGATTGAGGTAAAAGAACCCTTGACCCATCAAAAATAAATGACAGAACAGTAGGACATTAAACCCCATTTCATTTATAGCGTTCAATCTTTGGCCGAATAAATAGCTCAACTTAATATTAACTTCAACACTTTTCTAAATGATATCTTTAATAATCTGATAATACAAGGTAGTCTTTATAAAAGTTGTTCGAATTATTTTTACATAACAATTCAAAATTACATATTTGAACTTTATTTGTTCCAATTACTATTACATAACACTTTAAAATAAACTTTATAAATTTATATCAAAGATATGTACATACCAATGAACATTAGGATTTTTTTGTAATATGTCTCTTTCTAAATGTTCTACCAAGTCTTTATCATAACCGGAGGGATCAAACTTTTTCTCCCCATCTTCTTCTTCCTAGTTGAGGAAAGAAAATATTATAAATTAGACTGTTTTAATCATATGGAAAAGGTGTGAAAACTAATCTACTATATAAATGATAATATTGGGCTCCAAACAATGATGGTTTTAGATACATGCATGGGATCACAAATTAGGAAAATGTATGTTGATTGAATCTTTGACATTGCTACCAGGTTGGATGAACATATCATTAACACAATTATTACATTATTTATATAGTGCAGATTCCACTATAAAGTCTTTGAATGTATTTAAAAATAACAATAATGATTAATTACATTGATACAATTTCAGAAAACTAACCAACAATACTTACTATCTTTTTCTTATCTTTACCCTTGTCTTTAGCACCTTTATCAACTACATTACCATAATTTGGTCCTCCTCGACCCCGGTCTGGTTGAGCAGAATTACGTGATGGAGCAGCTCGTTGTCTGGATCTATTATCTTGTCTTCTAGGGGCAGGTGCAGCCTTTACACCTCCTCTTATATTTGGGGATGGTCTAAAACATAAATTAGTAAATAAGCTAATTCATAAATGTTGAATAACCCCAAGCAAAGAAAAAAAATAAGACTCCAAATAAAACATCACAATAAAGACCTGATACTATCCTCCCTTTCCTATCCGTTTGAAAAAAGACAGAATCTAGGTTACAACTAAGTATCTTACATTTTAAACCTAATTAACGTCGCTGACCCTGATCGTGCATTTTTTGTTTGGACAATATATAATTTTTCACAGTTTAATCCACATCCAAAAAACAATCCTAAAATATCAGAATTCAGTGGGATTAAAAAGAGGCCCATAAAAACATTCTATCTTACACTTCTTCTAAAAGGCATTAGTGTCTTTACATCGTTTACACATAATGCCAAATGTTTTGAAATTTTCAATTCATTATACATGTACATGCATCATTGCAAATACTGAACAGAATTCAACCATTTTCGGATTAATATCATTTTCAGAGATTTAACCTTCATAATAATCATAATATTAAAAATCAGTCAAATAATGATAAAACATTTCAAATATTCTACAGCAGTGTCTAAAATTCATGTCGGTCCGTTTTAATAAATAACTAATCGGACTGACATCTTTTTATTTTGAAGATGGTGGGTTGGTTATCACTTCATAGGTTTCTTTAGTAAATACTAGATTTTTAGATCCTGGAGCTAGTAGAGGACATGTATTGTACAAGGCACAGTAAGCTCGTCCTTTACTAACACTTGCTATCATGATTATATTGGATTTGCTTCTCTCATTATATAAGGTTCAATTTCAGGTAAACTCAATTTTGTCCCATGTGTCTATATTCTGTTTCTTGGTTATCTAAAATAAGTTTATGAATTTATTATGTGTACCTATGTTCAACGGGTGTTGGTGGTGGCCATACATCAGGATCTCTTGTTGGTTCTTCATGTCTTGCATAATCATCAAAAGACATAGGATTACCATAGTTAGCATGATATGAATGACTATTATCCATTTTAAAGCTATTTAAGGTTTTATTTATATCTTTAACATGTTCATATTCCTGTGATATCTGTTGCTTGACCTATAAAAGGATTGAAAATACGCTAATCAAATAACTCAAATCAAATCAAACAGGACATCCATGTAAGCCCACATTAAGACTACATTTTATATTATCCATCTAAGGCAAAAAATACCTGAAAAGTGTCTCAATCTTTTCTGCTGAAACACTTGTTTCTATTTAATATTAGTCTAATTTGCTTGATATTTTTAATCTTTAGCAGAAGCATAATTAATCCTCTCTGATCTGTAGAAGATTGGCTGAGTTTTGGCAGAACATAATCTGTCAAAAGGATTAGGGACCTATTCACACTTAAACATCAACAACATACAAGGGGTAGGCTTAATGTAATATCAAAATCTGAATTTTTTCTACCTGCACTGCAGTTACTATTGCAAAACTATTAGAAAACATTTAAAGCCCAATATAATAAAGCTTTTAATAAAATACAGTCTTAAAAGACATTATTTGTAGGCTACATAAGTAATGTCAACTGTTTAACCCTTCATTTGTCAATCAATAGAGCAATACTGTTTAATTTTTAATGTCGACTTGACACAGAGTATGTCATTTTGGGACTAACACATAGTTCAATTTTATTTCAATAATTTTCTTGCGTATTGGGGTCTGCAGGGGTCAAAATTCGTGAAATTGGAACAAAGAAAAAATGCCACAGTAATTCCTTCTTCACTACGGCAACTTTTATGTACACTGAGGCAAAACTTTTAATTTACTTTCGTCACTACGGCATTTTTTAAACTGGCAAACTTTGATTGATACTATGAATCCGTTTTATATCTTCAAAATCAGGCGGTCTAAAAATTCTTGCAAGACTGCGAATCTACTTAGCGACATAATCCACAATTCCACCAAATATAAGTATCATGATACCGAACTTGCATTTTAAATGAATACTTTGCCGTTGAGGTGATGAATTCCAATTCTAAAATACCCGTAATACCGTAAACTTATTATCAAAAGACGACTTCACACTTACAAGTGCATGACATTATATTTAGTAATTTACATGTACCTCGTGCGACGGACATGTAAGTAACGCCCCCTGGAAATCCCTACTCACATCCTGTCTATATTTACACTAAAAATTATATTATATGACACATTTTCCCAACCTAATTATTTGATTTGGTCAAATCTTCCAGTAAATTATTCATAACCAATATTTCTGGAAATTGTTTTGAACTTCTTAAATGATTTTAAAATACACCAGACAATGAGCCGTGTACATTTCCATTCCAGCATGTGATGTTACGGTAGAATTATACTATTCAAAAAAAGTAGGGGATATTTGATTTTGGGGGCATAATACTAAAATATGCAAATGACTACGAAAAAAGTCACTATAGAACCTAACAGAAGAAACATTTCCAGTTACATGTGACGCCCAAACGCACCAATAGCTACCGCATGGAATGCAGGTGATGCTTGGGATCATCATGGGGGTCCAACCCAAGATTTGCACGACTCTGACTTTGAATGTTACAGTCATTGTGGCATTGAATTCCAGGGTGGAAACATCAGTTTAATTGTTTTAGTGACCAGAAAACAAATTTTGATATGCGTCGGCTTACCCAAAATGAAAGGTTACGTGCCCTTGGCATGCTACAGATCGGCACAACACAGGCGGTTGTGGCGCGGACGATGAATGTTTCTCAGTCTGTCATAAGCAGGCTATGGTCCAGATACCGTGATACACAATCTGTACAGGACAGACCACGCTCAGGTCGACCAAGGGCGACAACTCAAGCCCAGGATCGATTTATCCGTACCTTGGCCTTAAGAAATCGTGTCATCACAGCAAATCAGATCAGCGCTCGTCTTCAAACAGACACTGGTGTGAGAGTGAGTGGCCAGACGATTCGGAAGCGACTGCATAGGGGTCACCTTCCCGCCCGACGTCCTCGCGTGATCCCTTGTTTGAGAGATCATCACATTCAGGCAAGACGTCGTTGGTGTAGGGATCGTCAACACTGGGATAATCGACGCTGGAGCAATGTGATGTTTTCAGATGAGTCAAGGTTCACTGTTGATTTTTTGGACAGACGTAGGAGGGTGTGGCGTCGTCGAAACGAGCGCTTCCAAGACGTTAACGTCATCAGACATGATCGATTTGGGGGTGGTTCTGTTATGGTGTGGGGAGGCATCACTGTTGCTGGAAGAACGGCTTTACATGTAATTGCAGGGCGTGTTACAGGCCAGTACTACCGGGACAACATCTTGGCAGTCCATGTTGTGCCGTTCGCACGACGTCATGGCCGCCGTTTTATCTTCCAGGATGACAACGCAAGATGTCACAGGGCCAGGATCGTTACAGGTTACCTCCAACAACAGAACATCACCACATTACCTTGGCTAGCACTGAGTTCCGACCTCTCCCCCATCGAGCATGTCTGGGACATGCTTGGACAGAGGTTACGTCAACGTCAACAACGTCCTGCCAATGTCCAAGCACTTCCTGCTGCGTTGCAACAGGAATGGGACAATCTGGACCAAAATGACCTTAGACGTCTCATTAGGAGTATGCCACGTCGAATCAATGCTTGTTTGGCAAACAGAGGAGGATTTACCCGTTACTGACTTGGTTGTGATGCTGTGGTAACTTTGCTGTTTGACCCCGGGTATCATTTTACCCTTATAATGGTCAGTCTGTGCCTTACTTAGTCTAATGATAATTTGGAATAAATCGATGAATGTGAACTTCATTTCATTTTGTCATTTGTTTCTTCGTCAGTTTCATTAGGTGACTTTAATAACACTTAAAAATCAAATATCCCCTACTTTTTTTGAATAGTATATGTCAGATGGCTTGGGGGATACGTGGTTTATTTATTTAGATATGAATACTTCATAATGCTATAAACTAGTGTCAAACAGATGAAAACATGCGTAGATGGTGTGAAATTCATTGTTATTAAATTGGCTGCTATTTGACTTCCAACTATCTGAGTAACCGTACGATGGGACGACTGAACGAATGCCGCATGACGCTTGTGTTATCGCTATCTGTGTTATGTATGTCCGCTAATGTGATGCCACGGTAAATAGCCCCCAAAAAGATTCCACACCGTTCGATCTATTTTTAGCTGTGTGGTTCGAGATCTAACTCGATAGAAAAATGCAGTCATGAGAACTCGGGAAAGAAACAGAACAATAAATTCCTACTTTCGATTATGCCGTGGATTATGCAGGTATACAACGGCGATTTCAGTGTCAACATCGTCAAATTGCCGTGGTGATATACTTAAATAAATTACCACGGCTAAAGATCCCGTAGTCATAATTTATTTTCTACGGCAATTTCGTTAAATACTACGGCAATTGCCGCGGGTTTCGTCGTGAATTTTGACCCCTGGTCTGTAGGTTTGGAAGGATACCATAGGACCTGGAGTAAACTCATAATGTTGGACAGACGACCCTACTAATTGTCACGTACAATCAAGGAATCGGAACCACGCCATTTGACTCAATGACAGACCTTATGATCTAATTTACATGCATTCTGTCACCCAACCCCCATTGTCAATCAATAGATCTATCAAAACATTATTAAACAATTTAACACACCAGATTAACTGATTAGACTATCACCAGTTAATTATATAATCAAACAATCATTTCAAAGAATTTAGAATGTACCTACAAAAGTACAAATTACTCTAAAATCAATTTTTGTTTTGTTTATGGAAGCTTAATGTCCACTCCATTCAATATTACCTGAGACCACTTGTGTTTACTTGATGAATCTTTTAAGGTCTGTAATAGCTTTTGAAGCTGTTGTAAAACTCCTTCATAATAAACCATTGATGTATCATAATTACCAAGAAGGGCACTTTCTCTACCCATCTTGGTGTTTTCACTTATTTCACCAAAATTAACACTCATCCTGAAAAAAAAGCAGATTTAAGGTTATTAATAAGATCAGTAGTAGTATTACTAGTAAGCTCATTTAAGTAGGCCTAAATAATGCTGGTTAATACCACAGTAAACACCAGGTAAGGGGGGGGGCACAAATTTTATTGTGGTTGGAAAGAAAAATACATAGCATTGCCATTAGCATAGCTTTTGTTTTGATATCTAGTACTTAAATCTAGCCTAGTGAGTGCCTGGTGGAATACCTTCACAGGCCTGTCTGTAGTGAATCAGTTCATAAATTCAGACTCATGATTAGACATATTGACTGTCATTGTCAAAGGAGTCCTCAGATCAGTTCGATTCATTTTTTTCTTAACCCTGTTTCACTTGGTTTTTAGGTGTTTGTCATCGCTCGGTAGGCCTAGCTAGAATGTAGATCACCAGCCAGCCAGTTCGACATGTCTAGCCTACTCGGTTTCAGTAACGAAAGACATATAGGTTTGAAGTAATCCGTTACCATTAAGGATTTTAAGTTGGAAAAAATAACTTCTATCTAAAAAGAATCATACAAACCTTGCAAAACTGTAAAATAAATAAGCTATGCTATTCAGGAATTTTATGACTGAATCTTAAAAACGCTATTTATGGATACGCCTTTCTGATTGGACGATAGGTTTCCACAGAAATGGGAGCTAACTCGAACTATGTGAGACTGGATTTTCCAGTCTCAAAAACTGTGGCCTAATAAGTAGTTGCAGACGCTAAACTTATCTATGTTTAAAAAAAAAGACCACTTTAGTCTGTTCATTCATCCCAGTAATCTTGGATAATTATTTGTGTTCCGGAATTAAATTATTCCTAAGTCTACAGACATTAATTTGAACATGATCTCATGTAAATTTACAATATAATATTATGTGACGTTATCAGCAATTTTAGTTTTACTGCGAGTGTGACAAAAATATATATATACCGGTGGCGGTATATCTAATTTTTTTTAAATTACTTATTTGTTTTACTCGTGACGTGTATCGCCTATACCCATTAGGGCTGTGAAAGCCCCAATTTGGACAGAAAACTGATACAATAGCTAATATGCGCGTTCTTTAATTGGTTCTATTTTTTTTATCTGGATCGAGTTTAATTAGTTTAAGTTAGGTAGAATTCTAGTGTCGCTCTCATCACGGACTTCAATATTTTAAATGTAGATGAAAATGTTAGTCCGCGATTCAAGCTGCTTCTTGTGACGTCCCTAATTAATTAAGTCCTAACAAATCTGTCAAAAAACAAATTGTTCAGTGAATTAAGGCGAGCGCAGCCAGGTGGAAGCCAATTAGGCCTACCTCTATAAAATCATACGCGGGAAACTGAAAAAAAATTCATTAAGATAAAATTGTCTTTGGATTATGTGTCGTATTCATGCACCGATCATGCCCATCGAAACGGCCGGCGCAATCCTACAGTACGCATGTACATATAGCATAGCCACATCAGTCATCAGCCATGGCATGGACTGATCTGGCTAGAACGCCACTATAAGCGTTTAAAAATCGTAAATTAACGACGCTATAGACAAGAATAAGGTGGTTAAATTAATTGTTTCCAGTCTACCTAAAATATTTTTGGGGAATCACGCGCAGATATACCACCGGTACATGAAAATATAAAATAAACTTAGAACTAAAGATAAAATCCAAATTTTAGTAGATACTTCAATTTTGATTGGCTAAGCACTAAAATCAATCTAATATTATTCAATCAAGTTACTAAAATTTGCATTTTATCTTAGTTAAAATTTCGTGAAACATGCGCCCCAGGAGAAAAAAAAGTATAGAGGGTCGTTTTCAACTGCATGTACTTTCATTTTCTTTATACGTCTGGACTCCCGGGTCTACAGAGACGCACGCCATCGAAACATCCGGAAACTAAAACTAGCTTCAGCAAATCGCAAGTTGCTGGTTATTGTCCTATTTTATTTGATTACAAATGATGCCATTGCTTATATTTTGGACCACGGGCAGTAATTAATATAGCTGATAGAATCGACAAATAAGAGAAGAAAGAATGTTGAGGTATGCATAACTGTTTTGCTAAAATCCTTTTGCATGAATTACTAGTTTAGGTTGTCTGACGTCATAAATCGTAAGTGCCCGTGAATATCCGGTAACCAGATCGAGGTTAATGGCTTCAAGTCAAGTTTCAGTTTAGCATCGAGACCATTTTTGTTGAAAATTATAAACCTTGATATATGTTATCGACTAGAACTGATTTATTTACATAGAAGGTGAGAACTGGTTGGAGAATCTATAGGACACGGTGATTACAATTTTACTTGCTTTGAAAATAGTTTCTGTTCATTTGACAACCGGGGCTTGATTCAACTTGCGATTGCAGCGCGGTCGACGTCATACATTATTTATTTGACTTTCATTTTAATTTTCATGGACGCTTTAGGATAGATCTGCCTCATCACAAACTGATTATTTTCTATGCTTTATCGATACGTTGTAAAAAAATATATGTAATTGGCACTCGTTTTTTGTTTTTTTTTAAGTATATAAAATGTTACTATTGCAGATTCCCATGATCCCAATCAAACAATGGAAAAGAAAAAAACAAAATCGAAAAAATTGTCTAAAACGGATGCGGCCCTGGGAGAAATGGAGAGTGGTACAATTGACCCCGAAACTTTCAGTTTCAGTATGCCAACTTCGGGTCAGAGGTCAACACCAACAGTAGCTGCCAACAGCAAGTTATTGGCTTTAAGTTTGTATGTCTTGAACACAACAGATGATTTTAAAGAATTGTCGTACAGGGTAAATTTTGTAACATATCAATTGAAAATTATCGATCAGATTAAATAATACTGTACCTTTTATTATTTAAGATAAAAAAATAAAATGATAAAGAGAAAACCCCTTAGAATGCATTAAGAAGAAATAATAAATGAAAAATCACCAATAAAAACATGACATGATAAATCATACCAACTCTCCATAGTTGAATTTTTAACCCTGAAAATTTTGTGCATATGTGTGCTTTTTATTTTTAGTTTGTATTTACTTAAAGATGCATTATTTAAGACCCAAATCTGCATATTGCAGGTATTTTGTGTTTGGCTTCAGATTAGAACTCCGGTCATTTAATAATTTAATGTTAAAATGGATAATCAAGAGTTTGTATGGTAGTGCCTCGTTCACAATTCAGACTATCTTGTCAAAACTTCAAACACTCATAACTTTGCACAATAAAGTTATTTGAAAAGCCAGCTCTTTATCTAAATCTTACGTAATGCATCCTTGATTACAAAATCTCAGTATTATCTGAATATGAGGAAGTAAGACCATAAATAACCGCACAATAAATATATTAAGACAAGAACCTTACAATAAGTATATTAAAGGTCACCGGAAAAGGTTCATAATTTTTTTAAATAATGCAAGTAATTATGTCAACATATCCTTTCCATAAGTATAACACGAACCCGAATGTCAATATTACCTGCAACAGGTAGATTTCAACTTTATTAATTTCCTCCATTCTCTGTGGGCAGTCGTAACTTTCCGTAAATAAACAATCTGTGACTTCATTTTAGTCCTTCTACTCATATTCTAGTCTATATTTCTATGTGCCGAAGGACTAAAATGACGTCACGGATTGCTTATTGACGGAAAGTTACGACTACCCACGGAAAGCGGCGGAAATTACTAACGTTGAAATTTACCTTTTGCAGGCAATATTGACATTCGGGTTCGGGTTATACTTATGGAAAGGATATGTTGACATAATTACTTGCATTATTTTAAAAAAAATTGATGCTTTTCCGGTGACCTTTAAGACAAGAACCCTACAATGAAACTATTACGGGTACCTGTCATATTGTCAATTTGATAACTGTGGTGTATGTTTAATATTTTTCAGATTACCAAAAACACAGTTCAGGAAGAAAGCCTGGTTATAACTCATGGTGGAAACCTTGGTTTATTAGGTGAAAATCTGGACCCAGTAACAGTTACTTTGACAGAAAAGGGAATTGCTACAATTAATGTTTTATTTAGACCCTCAGAAAAATACAGCTTGTTAGATAAAACTCTTTTTGATGCTGGTCAATTTATTAGTATTTTGAGGAAACTTACAACGAAGGGTCAGTATTTGTTTTGTCCTGGTCTAGGTGATGTCCAGCCAGCTTGTTTTATCAAAAAATTAGCTTACCATGCACATCCATTTTCAAGATATCAGTCAACAGATTGTTCGGTATGGTACAAAAATACGGATACTTCCATCAATGAGCTACTTGTTACATGCAAGGCCTGTAAAGATCTTTCTAAATTTATTCAGAATCTTCCACAGAAAAAAGGACAAGAAAGTCCTGAAAAGGATACTGAAGAAGAGGAGATCCCTGAGGTCACACCAAAAAAGAGAGGCAGAAAGAAGAGCAAAGAGTCTGTAGCTAAAACCAAAGATGAACTTAATAGTAATACAAACAACTCCTGTACAGAAGCTAATCTGTCAGTGGATAAAATGACAGAAGATGTTAAATCAAATTTCGAATCTCCAAAGAAATCTCTAAAATCTGACGTATCTCAATCTCCCAGATCTTCAAGACGTATCTCTGCAAGAGGCAGCAGCTTTTGTAAAATATGTATGTGTTTTCATAATGAAAAAGACATTAAAACATATCCTTGTCAGATGACAACACAAGTTGCATTATCTGAAATGACAAACCTCGATATTGATAATGGAAACCTTTCCCCCTCTAAGAAAGAAAAGTCATCAAAAGGTAGAAGAAAGGTAAAAACACCAGTTAAAAGAATATCGACAGAAGAGAAGCCCATCTCAGATGAGGAGGAAGTGGTACAAGACAGTGAAGAAACTCCACTTATGCTTGAAGTGACTGAAATTAAAACAGAAATGGAAATAGGAGCAGAAGAAGAATTAGAATTTGTTTTGAAAGCTGATGTGGATGAAGCAGAATCACAAGTGGTCAAAATAGAAGGTATTGAAGAAGAACCAGAAGTTTCAACTCCAAAATCAGCCACAAAAAGAAAACGACAGAGAAGAGGAAGAGGTTGTAAGCGGAGGTCCAATCAAGAATTTGGCGAAGGAAGTGATCAGATGGATGATGTAGATGCAGGAGCCTCTGCTCTCTTAGCACTTACGCGAGGTAGGAAACGTGATGCTGCTGCAGCAGCTGCTGCTGCTGCAAATGAAACTCCCTCAAAGAAACCAGGTCGACCTCGTGTTCTTGGTAATCAACATAGTGCTCCTAGTGGAATTGAAGCTCTGTTAACAGCAGCAATGACGGCTGATAAAGATGATAAAAAGGGCAACAAGAAAATGGACAATCATCTACCCACACCAAGATCTAAAAGAGATGAACTTAATACACCCTTCAAAGTACTGATGGCCCAGATAGAATCTGATAAAGGTATGTTTTTTTTTCTGCTGTTTTTATGTTCATGTTTGACGGCTTGTCTCAAAGAATTTGTAGCCTCACACAAAAGCTGATCCGTGTAAGTCTGGATAAAGCAATGGATAAACATACGTTATCAATTGAAAAACCTAACTACTGGTACTTAGGTTTTCCAATGCTCTCATTTCACAGAGTTGCATATCGTAAAAAATAACTTTTTTTTTTGAATATCTTTATGAGGGATTTAATGAGGTCTATAACTTGTATTTTTCAGCTAAAGGTGTTGATGGTAGTAAGCCATGGAAATGTCCAGAATGTGGAGATTTTTACAGTAGTAAAGGTAATCTCAGACGCCATCTTAGAATTCACGATTTAGATAGACCTCACTTTTGTCCTGTCTGTAACAAAACATTTGTACAAAAAATAACACTAAAAGTTCATATGAGATTACATTCCGGTGATAAACCCCATGTTTGTAGTGTTTGCAACAGAGCTTTTGCGCAGAAAAGTAACATGGAGACCCATTTGCGTCGACATCTTGGTCAGCGTCCTTACAAATGTCATTTATGTAATAAAGGATTTAGTGACAAAGGAAGTTTAGGAGAGCACATCAAAACTCATACTGGAGAACAACCATATGTTTGTCCGATCTGCAAGAAAGCTTTCAGCCAAAGAGCTAATATGCGAACCCACATGCGTCGTCATAAAGATGACCGACCATATGTTTGTAGTGAATGTAATAAAATGTTTAAGAACAAGGATGGTTTCTGGAAACATATAACAGCAGTTCATAAAGCCAGCACACCAAAAGCAGAAATCCCTAACTTGCAGGACCTTGAGATGTTCAGGAAAGGATTAGGTGACAAGGAGCAGGACAGCTCATCGGATAGAGATGGAGAAGATGCAGAGGAAACTGATACAGATGACGGTGAGGGCTCAACTGAAAAAAAGCAGAAAAGATCAATCCCCGAAACAGATGAAGAGATGAAATCAGGGGTTGTGAAAGTTCTTCCAAATGGAGAAAGTGGTGTCAAGGTATTGCTTGAGCAGGCCAGTAAAGAGGATGCAAAGAAAGTCGTGACACAATATGTTCATTCTACAGAACCTGTAACTGTTGATAATGCTAAAAGCAGCACTCCGAGCAACACGATAACAAGAACTTTATTAGATGCTGATCTAACATTACACAAGAAGGCATTGCCTAAACTTTCGCCAAAGCCGGTATCAACAGCCTCCCAAAGGTACTTTCCCGTTATTGTAAATACACTCAACTCTAAAGTAGGCTTACAATCAACAAGTGTTACACCGTCCTCGGCAGCTGAAGCTAAACCTAAACCCGTAGCTAAGACCATAAATTTTAGTACTCCAATAAAAGTTGATCCCGCAATCAATATAGTAGCTACAATGGCGAGTCCTATGCAAGTTATAAGCAAACCTAGCACCAGCAGTCAAGTTGGGCAAGGGCCAGTACAAGCTATAAATATGAAACCTATCACCTTAACTAGCACCCCACCAGTAACTTCTGGCTATATCTCTGTTAATCTTGTTGGAAGCGATGGTAAACCCATGGGCGTTCAGTATGTAAATCCTAAAGATCTTGGTTTGACAATCAGTGTTCAGAAAACCAGTGTTACCAAGTTTCAGGTATCTTCAATTTTAGCAGATAACAAATCAATAGTTACTTCTACAATAGTTACAGATCCTTTCACGGGCAAGGCAGTTACCTTCACCCCCAAAACTACGGCAGAAGCACATGCCCCAAAAGCTTGCACTACAACTGCAACTCTTAAACGGGTTCCTATAGGAAAAAAATCGCCTGTACCTGTAGGCCAGGAAAGTCTTACTTCTTTTGTTCAATCCCTACCAATACAGCGAACCATTCCCATTACAAAAACAAACCAGTCTGTTAACGTATCCAACATAGCACCAAAAACAGTTTATGTTGCAGCAACTACTTCTCCATCTCCTGGTACCAAAACTGTCTTAATTGATATGGCCCCAAAGTTATCACCGGGACCAATTGTTTCTAAACCGGTGATTATCTCAGGCCCTTCAACGGTAGAAGGATCGAAGACCATCAACAGTCCTTTTAAACAAAACCCTAAAGGAGTGAAGACCCATCTCAAATCCTTGGTTAATGCAACAATCCTAAAGTCTGTCGCAGAAAAGTGCAAAGCATCAGCACTTTCTAACCAACAATCCATAGTAACAACCATACTAAAATCTCCGCCTTTATCCAATCTGATAACAGTGAAAGAAGAAGAATTATCCCCACAAGTTGTACCGCCTAATGTAACATCAGTAGTCGAGTCTCAAGTAGCATCCCCAAATGCTGATTCACAAGTAATAGTAACATTATCCAATGTTGATTCTCAAAAAGCCTCCGATAATGTTGCACCCAGCGGTACCGCAGTTGTAACATTGTCTAATGTTGATTCACAAGTGACACCCAAAGGTGATAGGGTAGTAATTTTATCTAATATAGATTCTCAAGCAGCTTCGAACGGTGATTCAATAGTGACTTTATCTAATGTTGATTCACAAACCGTGTCAAATGCTGCTCCAATAGTGACAGTATCAAATGATGGTACTCAAAATGAAACACCATCTTGCATTGATACCGAAGCTAAAACACATGCGAGTGAAATAGATGATGTTACAGCAAATATGGACGAACACGACGTTGATAAATCCAGTGTAAACGTCATTATTGGTGAACAAGATGTTGATACCTCTGATGGACAACCGGTCCCAGATGGGCAAAAAGTCGAAAATTCCGCTATCAATGAACATCAAATAACAGCTTCAACCATCGATGAAAAAGTCGTTATCGATGGTCAAGAAGTTTCAACTTCAATCATTAACGAGCATGAAGTTGACACCACTATTATCCATGGACACGTTGTTCCGAATACAGTTATTGATGAACAAAACATTGACACCTCTGTTATCCATGGACTTGAAGGTTCGACCACAATCGTTGATGGAGAAGGAGTTACAGAATATGTCATTGAAGAAGCGGCTTCAGACATAACAGCTGAAGAAATGACTTAATTGGGTGTTAATCATTTAATGGGTGATTTAACCAGGCCATTTTGTGTTCATTCGTAATATTATGATCTGTTTCAATAAATGAACATGTGTGTTTCAGATGTCGAACTAAGACTGGCAAAATGAAATGACACAACACACAATTTGGACAAACTTATACATTAATGCTCATATTTTTCGCGAATGACTTCTAAGGACGGAAAGGAATTTGAATTGACTGAGATTGGGAAATGCATGAAATGTATATATCTCGGTTTTGTATATGTCTACTTAATTTGTTTATGTATCCATGATAATTGTAAAAAGAAGAGTTCACTTGTTTTGTTATTGCGGTTTGTTATAATAATTGTAAATATAAACATCCTTGAAGTTCCATACTAATGAACTTTAAATGAATAGAATTTGTTGTATTAAAGTTGTGTATAATTTGTTATATTGGGAAAATTACACACCATATGAGGGCATTTAAATGTTTTATTCTTTTACAGCTATCCTGTAGTGCTATATGGTCATTTATTGTTTATATCATGATAATCATCATTATGTACAAACTAGCTTTGCGTCATTGTTATATGGTAGCAAATATAATTAGCACTCATTTTTTTTATCATTCAGTTTGAAGTCTGAGATTTATTTGTAAATTATTATCTATAACAGACTGAAAGATATAATATTGCAGACACGGCAATGTGGATAAAATTGCATGTGGTTTTAGATTTTTAAGAATTTAATCGAGCATACAAATAATTCAGAATTATTTCTGTTAAATTAAAAAATACAATTTTCTATTTCATACTTTTAATATCGAGTGTTGTAATCTGATATTTAGTATTATGTAAAAGATGTACCCAGCCTTTAAGACTGGCAAATAAAACATGTTAAACTATAGTTATGTTTTAGCTTTTCGGATGATTCGTTTAGTAGTAAGAAATCCAAAGTCGCACTTTGATTATTTGCAGAACCGAGGCCACACGTCACAGGAATCGTTCAGCTTGTAATAGGGGTGGATCTACGGAATTTCCGAGCCAAAATTAATTTACACCTAGTTATTGTCCCCCGCCTTTCGAAGAAAGCAGGGGACTATTAAAATGGGTTCGTCCGTCTGTCTGTCCGTCTGTCCGTCCGTCCGTCCGTCTGTCTGTCCGTCACACTTTTTGGGACACAATAACTCTCTTCCTAATTGAGCTAGAATGTTCAAACTTGGTGTATGTGTTTATTACGTCAATGCCTTGATGGAGTTCGAAGATGAGCATTTTCCGCTTAGGGTGAGCAGAGATAAGCAATTTGATTGGTTGATGCTTTGGGACACGATAACTCTCTTCCTAATTGGGCTAGAATGTTCAAACTTGGTGTATGTGTTGATTAGGTCAATGCCTTGATGGAGTTCGAAGATGAGCATTTTCCGCTTAGGGTAAGCAGAGATAAGCAATTTGATTGGTTGATGCTTTGGGACACGATAACTTTTAATTGAGCTAGAATGTTCAAACTTGGTGTATGTGTTTATTAGGTCAATGCCTTGATGGAGTTCGAAGATGAGCATTTTCCGCTTAGGGTAAGCAGAGATAAGCAATTTGATTGGTTGATACTTTGGGGCACGATAACTCTCTTCCTAATTGAGCTAGAATGTTCAAACTTGGTGTATGTGTTGATTAGGTCAATGCCTTGATGCTTTGGGACACGATAACTCTCTTCCTAATTGGGCTAGAATGTTCAAACTTGGTGTATGTGTTGATTAGGTCAATGCCTTGATGGAGTTCGAAGATGAGCATTTTCCGCTTAGGGTAAGCAGAGATAAGCAATTTGATTGGTTGATGCTTTGGGACACGATAACTTTTAATTGAGCTAGAATGTTCAAACTTGGTGTATGTGTTTATTAGGTCAATGCCTTGATGGAGTTCGAAGATGAGCATTTTCCGCTTAGGGTAAGCAGAGATAAGCAATTTGATTGGTTGATACTTTGGGGCACGATAACTCTCTTCCTAATTGAGCTAGAATGTTCAAACTTGGTGTATGTGTTGATTAGGTCAATGCCTTGATGGAGTTCGAAGATGAGCATTTTCCGCTTAGGGTAAGCAGAGATAAGCAATTTGATTGGTTGATGCTTTGGGACACGATAACTTTAGTTCTAATTAAGTGAGATTGATGAAACTTGGTGTATAGTTTCATTACAGTAATACCTTGACTAAGTTTGATAATGAGCATTTTCTGCTCAGGGTAAGCAGCAATTTGATTGGTTGATACTTTGGGGCACGATAACTCTCTTCCTAATTGAGCTAGAATGTTCAAACTTGGTGTATGTGTTGATTAGGTCAATGCCTTGATGGAGTTCGAAGATGAGCATTTTCCGCTTAGGGTAAGCAGAGATAAGCAATTTGATTGGTTGATGCTTTGGGACACGATAACTTTAGTTCTAATTAAGTGAGATTGATGAAACTTGGTGTATAGTTTCATTACAGTAATACCTTGACTAAGTTTGATAATGAGCATTTTCTGCTCAGGGTAAGCAGCAATTTGATTGGTTGATACTTTGGGGCACGATAACTCTCTTCCTAATTGAGCTAGAATGTTCAAACTTGGTGTATGTGTTGATTAGGTCAGTGCCTTGATGGAGTTCGAAGATGAGCATTTTCCGCTTAGGGGGTAAGCAGAAATAAGCAATTTGATTGGTTGATGCTTTGGGACACGATAACTTTAGTTCTAATTAAGTGAGATTGATGAAACTTGGTGTATAGTTTCATTACAGTAATACCTTGACTAAGTTTGATAATGAGCATTTTCTGCTCAGGGTAAGCAGAGCGATACGCAATTTGATTGGTCGAGACTTTGGAAAACAATAACTCTCCTACTTTGATTGTTAGACTATAAGTAAAGATATACTGTTTGATTGTTCAATACTTTGTAAAAGATAATTTGTGATAAATTTATATGTGTCCTCTAATTATTTTCCTATTTCGGCGGGGGACATCAGCCTCACTGTTGGCTTGTTACTACTGTTATTGAAAGTGTCACAGACAGGGCTTTAGCCCAAACAGTCAACTCTTGCCAAACAGGTCTCTGTATCTATCCTGATAGTAAGCGGCTACACGACATGGGTCGGTTTTTCGACAACTTTTACGCTCTGCTAAAGAACAATACGCGCTAACTATTGAAATAGAAATATACGGAGACACGGTGAAAACGCACCATCGCTAAAATGTGATTTTTGGTATGATTGGGGACACAACGACGATGGGTCGAAATTTATCCACGAAAGGTCGTCTGGTATGCTGATCGACAGAGTATAGTCGGTGACGAATACTCTCAATGCTACGTGGACCCCTCAATTAGTACGGGAAGCTGGCAGCGTGAGATTCTGTATATATATTGCCAGATAATGTAGCGATCTCTAGTCAACCGTGTGTGCTAGAAAATTGAATATACCAGTCCCGAAATGATTTGTTTTGAATTGGAGTTGAGCTAAAGTGTCGTAGACTTATCAGTAATTTGCTCGATGGATAAACATCCTCAGTTTCATTCACCCATGTACGTCTAACAATTCGGCATCCGTAAGTCTGCACTTCTTGGGAAGACAATTCTGCTTGGTAAAATGTCCCACTTGCTGGTGGGTATTGGAAGCCAGAAAAGAAATGAAATGGGGTTTAACGTCCTACTTTTCTGCACCGACTGGGATAATGGAGACGGGCGTACGCCATATAGAGTGCTAGGGGGGAAATTTTGCCCGAACGTCGGCATTCGGCCTATTCTTATATCAAGGGTTCTTTTTCGTGCACGCCATTGTGTACACGGACATCAGTTTTTCGTCCCATCCGAACGACTATGCCAGGTCCTCAGTCCTGCACCACTGGCAAGGGGGAACCGCATTGGACGTCAGAAGATACCTTATGTCATCTTAATCCTGTTGAACCACATTGTCCTCTTCCCTACCAGTAAACTGCTAATGTAGCTTGTCCTTTTATTAATGCTTTGTAACTATAGTTTGTAAATAGTTAACACGGTGTCAAACGTCTAATGTGCCCCCGAAAGGTTTAAAATGCCCAAATATACTTTTGCACACGGTTGCGTTTGACCAGGATCCGACTAATGTTACTATCACGACTTAATTCATCAATGAATGCTGATTAACGAGAATCACAGCCTGGGCTAATGAAGACGGGCATACGCCATACAGTGTGCTATGAGGGAAATTTTGCCCGGACAGCGGCACTACGGCCTACTCTTATATCGAATTCCAACTGCCAAGGGATCTTTTACGTGCACGCCAATGTGTACACGGGACCTCAGTTTTTCGTCCCATCCGAACGACAAGACAGCTTTCCTTGTCAGACCCTCCGTCCTGCATCACTGACAAGGGAGAACCACGCCGGAAAATCTGGATGAACTTTCTCGGCCAATGCAGGGATCGAACACCCGATCTCCAGGCTAGCGAGCCAGCGTCTTACCCACTTAGCCAGTTGATCCCCGCCTGCACAAGCACAAGATTAATAAAACAGTGGAAATCTAGAAGAAAGCCAACAATCACATTGACAGGGGCGTGCTGGCAGGGAGTTTAGGAGGACGGTGTCTTCCCAGGCCCCCATTAAACAATAAGTCCACCCGTATAAGCGGGCCCCCCTGAGAGCTCTAATTTTCACGCGGAATCCCCTCAAAAAATTGAGAGTGCCAGCACGCCCCTGCATTGGTAAATCTCGTCTTTCGATTTAGAAAGAAAAAAACGAATCGCAATCGAAGTATAAGATAGATTCAATTTTTACTTGTCTAAGCAACAAAGAGAGAGATAGAGAAATAGGGTTTAACGTCCACTCGACACAAACTAGGTCATTTCGGGATTAACATGGTTCAATTTTATTTCAATAATTCGCTTGCTCGTAGGGGTCTTGAGCAGTGGGAGGTCTCGGAGAAAACCAACGAGGTTGGACAGGCAACACCACTGCTTGTCACGTATACGGGGAATCAAAACCACCACAGTTGACTCAATGGCAGACATTATGATAAAACGCGCACGCGCTAACCATTCGGCCATCCACCCCTGCAAGTAACAAAGAAAGGGACGGAATAGTTGGTATATCAATAAGACTAAAACCATCTTGTTTATAATAGAATTTAGTGTAATTCATAACAGTGAATTCATAACAGAATTTCAAATAAGTCTACATAGATTTAAACAAAATTAGATCAATATATATTTATAACAACTGTAGAACTAGCTGCACCTTGATGATAAATATTATTTTACAAATAGAATAAAATTTGAAATATACAACTTAGAAAAAGTTTCAAATTCCTTAGTGAACAATAGTATAATATTATCTAATTATTTACATGGAAATATCACAGGATTGCATGAGTAAAGGCATTTACTGCATTAACATTATACCCCTTCGAAATGAAATAACTATACCATAAAATATTCTGTTTAAGTATTTGATAATAGTACATGAATAACATTTAAACAAAATTAAACATAAACTAACAACGACAAACACATTATACAGGTCACAATTTTATGGAATACAATTACTGCCCACATTCTTAAATGTACACGGTCTGTTAGAAATATCATTTATACATTATCAAATTAATAAAAAAAAAAAAAACTTATGACAATAGGAAAATTAAAATCTATTAGCACTCGAGGAATAATGGCGCGGTGTAGTCTTACTTATGTGCAAATTAAAAAGTCAATGAAGCGATTCACCAACATGCTTATAAATCTTATAGTCTGTATATCAGATAAAAATATAAAAGTTCTGTATATTTATTTCTCATTGAATGTCTTTGTATACATATTGAATCGTTAAATATACAAAATACGTTAGTAATTAAAAACTTCGATATGATGATAATGATTATAAAACATACCTTCGAGCATTCCGAAAAACTAGTTTATAGGAAATAAATCGTCATCACTAAGTTAAGTGGATTTTTTAATTTGCACACATAATGAGAATAAACCAGTGGCGCACATAATATTAATACAAATTGATTGTGTAGATGAAAATATAATATGAAGATATAATATGTCATTTTTCTTACTTAACACTTAACAGAGTTTTAAGAAATTCTCTGTAGGCGATTTTACCGGTTAATTCTCTGTCGAACTGCGAAAACAAATGATACAAATCTTCGTCTGATCCGTCAATATTACAGAGTTTTAAACATTTCTTAAAATCGCCCACTTCTAAATAACCATCATTGTTAGAATCCATTTTTCTAAAGGCTCGTCTCAAATTCTGCCATTCTCTTAAAAGCTGAAACACAGAAAATATCGTAATGTTGAATGTAAGCATTTTTAGTCGAGAAAAGTAACACGAAGTTGATTTATTATTGAAGAAACCAGCATTTCCTTTCCTTCCCAGTTATACAATTATGATTATATACCCCATTGCATATTATGTTATATGAGTAGAGGTGGCTCAGTGACTAAGGCGCTGACTTACTAACCAGAAGATTCGGGGTTCGATTCTCAATGGTATCAAAGGTATTTCCTCCTTGTCAATGGTGTTGGGCGAATGTGTCGGCTGTGTAAGATGGACCACAGCCGAATCCCATTGATACAAAGACATAGCTCTGAAAACCACGTGGTGTCAGGAAATCAGATAAACCTTAAATGAGTGTGATCTATTAGACTATTTTAATATTACAAGATCGGCCTAATTGTGTACCTCACAAACTCAAATAAGATCTCAATTACACAGACTTATTTAATAGGAAATCTGATATCCAACAGTCGCCCAAAATTCAGCCGTTAAGATTATCTCTTGCAAGTATCCCACCTAAACGGAAAACAATTATCTGCCATAACAAGATTACGAAGTGGTATATTCCCGATTGTTGTAGAACTTGGGAAATGTCAAAATCCCAAGGCAGCGATTGAAAAAGGGGACCAACATATAAGCAGGGCAAAATACAGATAATTTCATCAAGATTAGGCGAATAATCCATATAAAAGTCAAGATGATATTGTGCTACATTAAGAAGTGCTATAACCAACCAACCAACCCAGTTAAAGTCCGGACCAAATGTTAAACTGTAATCTAATTTTAAAAGCATCTACGTATACTTTTATCTATATAAAATGGTCAGAAATAATCTGGGAAGATGCTCCTGGCGATGTTATAAAATATAACCCCATCTAGCCATTCCTTCCGATTTAGTCAGATGGTCTCTTATGGACATTCTCTCATGGAGTCAGACGGGTCAAAAGGTTTTGTCAGCAAAATCTAGGAAATAAAATGTTACTGGTTTCCTGGACCCGATTAGCTCTAGGATGATGTATATTTTAATCATGCTACTGTTAAAGATGCATTTCCTAAGAGGTAAATCCGCCTATTGCAAATTTACTTTTTGGACTTTAATTTAAATTAATTCTTATTAATTAGACATTATTCAGATGACAAAAACTATTTATCAACTCCCTTAGACTATCGGAGGGTCGCCATTTTTAATGGATTGACACACGATCACAATTTAATAATTTGATTTAAAAATTGGAAAATCGAGACTATATTGTGAAAACTTCAAAGCCTGATAATTCGCCCAGAAACTAGTAATTTGACGGAAATATTCAATATATTCATTTTTCATTATCTATTTTTGAACTATTGTAGCAAGAACGGCCAGCTCTGTATCTAAATCTTGTGAAAATGCATATTTAATCTGGTAAATAAATGTCAGATATCTAAAAAATAAAATTACACTTCGTATACAAACTGCCATGTAAGATGATGATTAAACATGATGGTATTTAAATCTATATTCGTTATTAATTCTATATACGGCTCTAATTGTAAACTTTTCTAAAGGTGATACTACTTTGTTCTACACTACTTATTTAAGTGCAAACCTTTGTTCTCATAGTATAAACAGCAGTTGGAATAGCAAAACTACCCTTTGTTTCAGTAACATCACAGGATTGCTGGAAATAGTTCGGAACATGTAAAATATCAAACAGAATATCTGACCCAAAGCATTCCCGTATCATTAAATCGATTTATGTAAATAAACCCAAACCCCACTCTTTCGAAGATGCAGGAATAACATATTCAGAAAGTCACACCCCCTCTTGTGCATAATTAATATTATTGTGCATTATAATCTGTAAAAGTGATGCTTGTGCAATTCTATATAGACTGAGCCTAAATAATATGTAGAATAAACGAATATACATACCTTTCCTACGAAATTAGGAGACATTTCATTTACTTCCTCAAACATATCGAAATTACCACCCTGTGGGCCAAAAGCTTCTAAAAAGGCAATGTAGTGAAACCTGAAGTGTAGGAAAACGATTGGCAACTGTTATTAATATTCCATGTCATATTGATACAGGGGGTGGTCGATAAATGGGGTTTAACGTCCACTCAAACTAGGTAGTTTCACGACTAACATACTTATGGTACATTCTTATTTCTATAATTCATGAGCGGGTAGGGGTTTTAGCAGTGGGAAGAAGCCGAAGGACCCGGCGAAAACCCAAACGATGGTAATCCTTGGCATGTACAAGTCTGGGATTCAAACCACACCACTTGACTCAATGACAGACCTTGTGATCTAAAGTCTACTTATTAGACCACCCCCTTTCCTTTCACACACACAGAAACATTCCATATTCATGAGTAAAAGTTCTATGAGCAAATTCAATGAAGATAAGCTGATACAATTCACTTGAACGTTTTTACGTCACACAAGATAATCCAAATTACCTTCCATTTCCTTCGAGGTCAAATTGGTCGATTATTTCACCCATATCTGTATTATTTAAACCAAACTGGAGTTGTGTCATGAGGCCCTGTAAATATATCAGATGTTTTATGTACGAAACACAAGGCATGGCACCTATTTTGGAAGAAACATCATCTACAAAATTATCCATTCCGTACTTCATTTTTTAAAGTAATATTCAAAATAATTAAATCATAAAAGTCTCGATAAAAGGATATTCTATTAATGGAAAATGAACTTCTTCTTACCCTCATTTCCATATAGCCTATGTTAGAGAAACCCTGTCTGTCTAGATTTATAAAAGACTGATGAAGACGATCCCAATTCTTGGCAACCTTATATAAAACAAAAATATTTGCAATATATTTTTTTATCCATGAGAGTTTGTTTTCAATAATTTACTTCAAAATTAACTCATTTGCGGCAAAACGAATATGGCTGTTTTAACCTTGACTTTCGTTTTATGTTACGTTTATAGAACTTCCAAAACGGTACAGATAATATTTCGAGAAAATCAGAGTAATATTTCTATAACTAGTTCTAGATTGTTCATTTAAATGTGCCCAAAGATTTATGATTATAATGTCAAGTTATTAATTTGTAAGTTGCAAGTAATATTGTAACATAAGAAAGACTTACAAAGGGCTGTAACTTTTTCATTATCTCTTTCCGTCTCAATAATTTGGAGGTGTCGGTTTTCAAATTCAGAGGAGCAGAGGCTTTGGCACTACGTGGTCGTCCGGTATTTGGCGCTGAATGTGGTCGCAGTCTGAAGCCCTCTTTTCTTTCTCTTTGTATCTGTCTGGCTCGTTCTACCATCGATTGAGTGTTCTCTACAAAACAAGCATAAATATGGACATTTCAATAGATATTACCAATATATTTATCAGCCTTCTTCTACTATAAGTGTTTAACGTCCGCTTCCATCGAGGGTTATATCGCAGACAATCTTATCAGCCAATAACCTATAGACAAGCTTCTGTTTTACCCCAAAATATTTTATTTATTTCGGTGAATGGTGATTTTGAAAAATTAAAACAAAACATATACGTAAAATAAACCCTATGAAAATTTCTTACCATCGAATGATGGAGCTTTACCCCAAACGGATCGAACTCTATTGGCTGGACTAAACTGTTTTATTAAGGCACTGTATGCTAACATTCCATCTCTAGCCAGACTTAACGTGGACCATAATCTGTCCAATTCTTTCTGATTTAACGTTAAGCCAGTTCTTTAAAATAACAAAATGGTTTGAATAAATTTGATACATTTTACAGCATACAGTGGGGTAATATTAGTGATAAAAATGATATATAAATTAGGGAAGTACTCGGACCAGGAAGTACATGTTTTCATTTGTTGAAGAAGATCTTGTTTTATCATTTAAAGTAGCAGTCCCAGATTTGTATGTAGGCGTGACGTTCTGTTTTCACAAATGGACTAAGTATATATACCTAATTATAATCAATGTCCATAATAAAGTATTGAAAGTTAAAATTGTAATAAACAACATACATAACTATATCGAAGGCTAAACACAATAATTGGGACTGCTCGGAAATGATTATAACCGAGTTATGTGACTGTTTATCATAAAACACTAAAAAACACTTCAGCATCATTTATTACTTACAATCTTAGTAACGCACCAAATTGCCATTTTGTCATTCGCCCTGTCATTTTCCTATCCATGTCTTTGAAGTGCTATAAAGTAAAAAAAAAATCCTTTATATTGTACATTATCCACTCGATGCACACGAGTGCGATTTGAAATGAGGCGCCTTGTAGAACGAGGATAAATTAAATGTCAGTGCACAAGTGAAGCGTCAAACCGTTTTCGGTGTAAACTGGACTGACCAGACGCGAGTGACTGCCATTCTTTTTGAGCTTCTGGCGTATTTCGTCGAACAAAACTGATAAAAGTTTTACAAAACGAATGTAAATCAGTTTATCTGCATTCATATTACATTATGTATGTGTTTGACCCATTCTCGTCCATTTTAGGTTCTAACAAATAGAGATTTAGCTCCTTTAATATATCAAGTATATTATTTTCTTTTATAAATAGAGCTGATTATGTGTGAAACCTATAGTTAATTTCAGCGTTTTCTTAATTAATATACATCTATATTATACTTACTTTATCAAATGTGTGAAATCTACTTCTAAAAATATCTTCTATCTGTCTGTTTGTCTGTAATAAACATCACAACTTTTATATGTTTCTATTATATAAGGTATGATAATTGTTTATAAAAATAAGCTATAAATTCAGGCATTTCAAACTGTATTATGCATTTCACTAATGATGTTTGAGATATTTTGGCATTAAATTTAGCCTTGTGTACAATGCATTAACGTCTTAAAACTTAACGCTTTGCGATTTTAATTAATAAAAGTTACCTCAAGAACAAGTCTGGTTCTTTCATCAGTTTCCTCCTTGTCTTTTACAGACATCATATACGATGCCATATGACGTAGTTTTTCCATTGTAGGGTCATCAATCTTATGTATTGTATGTTTGGGTAGAATAGTTTCACCATGTAATTGTTGATTCCATGTTCCTGGTCTACATAAAAAACATGCAAAAAATGCATGATTTAATAATGAACATATACAGATAGCTTGAAAGCAGCGGTGATTTATTCAAACTGCTATTTTCTCTGTAATTGTATATGTTATACAATGCTCTTGTCCAAGAAGTTGTAAAATTAGAGACTGTTTATATAAGATGGAGAAATAAAAGACCATGGACAAACAGAACGATCTTTAGATTTTATTGTTTGTAGACCTCAAGCCTTAAAGGATAAACTGAGTACCATTCAATGGTTGATATATTGAATAATGAAACAAAATAACAATAACTCGCTCATATTTAATAACAAATGTCTCAATGTTTTGGGTTAGAATACGCCCTGTTATCCTATTATCAACCCAAACATTCTAAACTCTAACTTACTGTATGTCAAATTTGGCAAGGAAACCAGGATAAGAGATAGCACCATTCTCTTGAGCACCGACATCTTTCTGTAAGACCTTCCACTGTTTATCAGTTAAAGTACCACCCAACTGATTCTCTATAACATTTCTAAATGTCTCTTCACTAACTTTACCTTCATTATTAACATCGGCTTCTCTGTAATACAATATAATTTCCGTTAGAAGATCGCATCCCGACTGAGGGGTCCTTACTGTAAAAATGTCTAAGCCTTCAGCTTGGATTCTGATACAATTGTCCAGTAAAGGACTGTTCCAGTATTTATAACAAATAAATAGATTTTTCTCGGAGCACACTTCTGACTCCTCCATTGTTTTGTCTTCAGTAATAGAGAAAAAGGTTATCATTCCGATGTTTCGTCCTACCGTTTTGATATTATAGAATAATGTATACATATAAAACGAGTGAGCCTGGACGAAGGAGGTAAGGATATAATACGCTTAGAGATATCCGAGTATAATCATAACCGTTTCCATTCCAAAGACGTCGTTTCGTCTGATTTAAAGAGAACAATCTTCTATCTATAAATACTATTAATTTACAATGAAACAAACTTACTTGAAATCAGATACTAATTTGATGAAATCACCATGTAAATGTTCTACCACTGCTGATTCCAGATGTTCTGATTTTGTTGTATTTTTTACCTCCGATTTTGTTTCTTGTCGAATTCTTGAAAATGCATAAAAAAGGTTCAAAATGATCAGGTATAATTAACGCTCAAATCAGAATGAATACTAAAGACATTAATGATAGTTGACAAATAGAATTTATTTGATTCCAGCTAGCTGTGTTAGCGAGAAATTTGAGTGTTTAGCGTACATGAAATATGATGAACAATATTTAATTTATAGATGCTCAATTCATGGACAAAATGTAATTTGTCTTGAGAGCATCTTAATTTGAATAAGCAGGCCTCTGAAATATTGTTCTTTATTGGTTTCTTGACGACATGTCTAAAATTATACTTATACTTACATCTTGTTATTGTTTCCACTGGTACCATTCAATATTCCTGTTTTCTCACGATTCTGATATTTTACTAAGAAGTCTTTATAATTGATCTGACCTTGAATAGTGCGAATCCCACAACTGAAATATTTGTAAAGAAAATCTATTTTTCATCGAATACTTATTAGGATACAATGAGTTTATGCATATATTCCCACTAGTTTAGAAATATAAGAAAAGTACATAATGCAGTCTTCTTACCTTCTTAAAAACTCTTCTAATTCTAAAGCAGCAATAGTTATACCAAACTCTTTCATGACTCTTCGAAAATCTACTTTAGAAATATATCCATCATCTAAATAGTCAAACAGTTGAAATGCTTCGAGCATAAAAGTATATGGACCTTCATACTGAAACAGAACAAAATAAATACATATAACTAAAAAATACCCACAAAACCAAATCCAAATATCTATGGAAAAAACTAGATATTTCGTAATATACAGTAATAATAGATACAGCAATATCTACATGTACATGTAAGTTTAGTAGTGTTAATGTAATTACTTCAGTCATTCTGTTGTACATAAAACCTTTGATTTATTTAACATAAATTAAGTTCTATTCATAAAGAATTATCTGTAAAAGTTCATCAATATAGGTATTTTTAATTTCGAGCGATCATTCTATATAAAATTTGTTTTGTTATACTTTTGATTAGATCACTTAATGAAGAGGGTTGCAGTTGCACACGCTATCTTTGTAACAGACCGTCGTACATAGGTAGTACAGCTACATGAAGAAAATTGTGCAGTGACAATCTAAGTTTTATCCATCAAGGTGCAGAAAGACTGAGTGTGTTTGTCCTGGTTAGAGTTATACGTTTGCTATGATAATAGATCATAAAATAATCTAAAAATGTGATCCATGCAAACAGTTTCGAGCAAGTAAATATGAATAAGACAAATGACATGATCATTATACATCGAAGAATATACCAAATAAGATATTAGAGAGGGTGGATATTAGATATAAATTGTGGTTAAAAGCAGCTACTATTTACCTTGTCAGATGATAATCTGTTAGTCTGAATAAAGCAACATAAATACCCGGATTACATAAAATAAACAGCAGCGAAAATTAGACATCATTCTTCCCGTGATACGTAAATCATATTAGTCAACTACAACTAACGCTATATGTCTTTTATCCATAATGACTGATAACTTCAAGAAGCTAAAATTAGTTTACTGAGTCTATTGAATATATTAAACTTAAACGAAAAAATACTGATTAACTCTTTTAGGAAGCCATATAAGTCAAGCCACACAATTCTCCCAAGCTTCTATTTTAAATAAGAAATAAACCCGATTTACCTTTGAGTGTAGACTATCAAGAACATTTTCAAATTTGGTAGCCGTTTGCTGGGTAGTTTTCTGTTTACGTGAAACCGTAACACTAGATTTTTCAGATGTTGGTGGCACCGGTGGTTTACTAACAACATTAGTCCGTCGACTGGCTTTCCTATCTTTCGAGTCATTGGTTCGCTGATGCTTCACTTTCGTTTCTTGTTTTTCATCGACGTTTTCATCCTCGACGTCATAGTTGTAACTGGTTCGTAAAGTGTCATGGCGGACACCATCTTTTTCCTCCGAGCTCCAACATGTGACGATTTCTGATTTGTGACTTTGATGTGAGGAGTTTTTATGGCTGTTGGATGTTGTGATGGCAGTAGAGGTGATTTTAGGTTGTCCCAGTGATGTTAAACCTATTTGTTTGTATAATTGTTTTGTGTAGACAGCTCCACAATTATCTCTGTCAAATCTAGAATAATAACAATTAATTCGTGACAACTCAAGGAACAAAGGGGAAAAGGGCCAAGCAGTTACATAATTAAATAACTCTATTCTAAATTATTATTTATTCATTTTTATTACAAAAGTCTACTTGTACATTATTCATTATTTATAACAACTTAGATAAATAAAATGCTTGCAAGTAGAACACGCAAAAGAAGAATTACAAAAAGGAACGTACCTCGACCAAAATTTATCATATTCTGAATTGGTGAAATAAATCCCGAGTTGTGCCATAGCTTCTCTTAGTTGTGGTGCAAGAACCATTCCATTAGGTTCAAAACATGCGGTGGGTAGAAGGTCACGGATATTAGATTCCCTGTTAACAGAAATAACACATTTATTTTGGTATTGTTTCAAAGATAAATACGACAATTTTCTTTACTTATTGCCCTGCTTTATTTCAATAGCTGCTTAAAATTAGTCTTATTTAAAAAAAAGAATGTATTAGTGAGCTATATGTTGTTAGATGTGGATGTTTGTCTTACCCCGTGTTCAGTTTATCCCTTAAAAATGCAGCGGCATAAGGAGCTGAATGATGTGGATCACATTGCATATTCTCTAAATCACGCAGATTCTCTTCAGGGTACATGGCGCGCCGGAATTCTTGTGTTTCCATTTTCTTGGTTGGAATCACCCATTGTCTTCTTACAGTCTTTGAAAACAAGAATAGCGAATAGTTAATATATATAATGTATATTTATATGTGTTACAGAGAAAATTATAAAATAAAGAAACTTATATTTAAGATAGTCCCACAGACCCTCCCCCCCCCAAAGAAAAAAAGGAATAGAATCGTGTTATTGGAATGGATATATTTGATACCGACCTCATTGTCTTGGAAACATTTCACAAAATCCACAAAAGAGATGAGATTGTTGTCATCTAAGTCCAATCTGAAAAATATAATAGAATAATATAATCGAAGCTTAGGAAAATAAAGACGCTTCCAATTTTAACAGTTTCTAGTACTTGGCAGCCGTGGCATGGCACTGCCTTTTGAATTTACTGCTGTTACCTTTGATGTGTTGATCTCAGCAGACTCTTGATTCTACAGTACTTTAACTGATATCATTTATTATGCAGTGTGTCTACAGTTTATCTGTGCGCATGCTACTTTATTGTTAACAGTGTTCTTAGTTGTAACCTTAATTCTCTTTTGGTACGGAAGTTGCTATTTGTAGTTTGTACCAATGCTATGGCCCTTAACTTTGTCGATAGAATCTAGGTTTTCTTTCTGATACGTCATTGTTCTTTTAGCTTCCCTGGGAAATGTGTCTTAGTGGCTACTGAGGTAAATTAATGTTGTTAACACAGATGTATATTTGTTTCTCGAAAGTTTATTCTTAAAGTATATTTATATTTTAAGTATTGTTGTTGTTATTGTTAAAGCTAAATGTACATACCTCCGTAGAAACCTATCAAATTGTTCTTTAGTAATATATCCACACAAATGATACAAAATTCGCAGTAAGGCTTCCCTGAAAGATAATCAATCAATTAGTCGATCAACGCTGAACTTGTATAGCGGAAATAAAACTACAACGAACCATTGATACCATAATTTGGATGCCATCATATTTAATTGAAAACAAAAATCTATCGACATTATCATCTGCAAACTATTATAAATTTATCCTCAGGTTTACTAATAGTATTATCAGAAATGTATATAAACCTACAATTGTCAACAATTAATAATTTTGTAATGAATTGCCCCTTTTAAAATATAACTGTAAATATCATTTTCTAGTTGATTCAAATTTGTAACTTTTGGTGTTTGAGCTATAATATACTGCAATAAACTTATTCTGATTAAAAAATCAAATAAAATAATAAATAAAACACTAGAATAATATTCTACTTACTTTGTAACATTTCCCTTTCCCATAGGATCATTGGCTTTAAACATGTGACGTAAACCATAAAACCCTGTTGTAAGTTTATCTCGAACTTTATCCAACAGCTACAAAAATAAATGTCCAAATATTACAAAAACTAAAGTCACTGGTTCTAAACTGTGATTTACGGAGAGTTTGATAGACACAACGAACGTCATCCTTGTAAATGAAAAAAAAAAGGGGTTTAACGTCCTACTTTTCTACTCTGACTGGGCTAATGATCACGGGAATACGGAATACAGTGTGCTATGAGGGAAATTTTACCCGGACAGCTGCGCTTTCGTCTAGTCTTATTTCGAATTCCAACTGTCAAGATTTATTTAGCGTGCACGCCTATGTCCCATCCCAACGACTATACGTTGAATATTGCCATGCCCTCCGTCCTACGCCACTGACAAGGTGGAACCACGCCGGAAAATCCAGATGTACTTTCTCGGCCAACACCGGGATCGAACCCGGGTGTCCCTGGTGGCCCAGTGAGTAAGACAATGTGTATTTGATATAGGCCTACATATGCAAATAAAAAACAAGTAGGCTAATCATACTTACTTCATCTTCGGACTTTCCTTTAAAATTAGGACTTTCTTTTTGTCTCACAGCTGGTCGACCTACATATTGCTGTTGTTGATAATCTGCAGACAAACAAAATATTTCAATTTTTATTTGGATGTTAAATATAAGTTCTGGTAAATCAGACCATATAAAGTAGATATTTACACCAAGAATTGTTAGATTTCTCTAAATACATGGGAATAGATATAAGAAAGGGTACACAGTTTCGTATTCGACATCTATCACTACTCAAAAGTAATTAGAAACGTAGTTTGAGCTTGTATTTCAGAAGTAATTTAGGTTTCCCGCCATTTTTTTCACAGAACCAGACAGGTATGTCTAATTACACAATTGACAGGATGAAGCGATATGAAGGATGATCAGTGTTCTATTTACATAATTGGAGATGTCATAATTGTTTTTCTTTTAATTGTTGTCACTGTGGCTATAATATACTATATTCACCTTGGTAGCTCTATAAATATTATAATATAGATTTATTGATCTATATTAAAGATAGTAACAACATTCAATAACAACAGTGTTATTGCAATAATAAAATATTGTTAAGGCTTAGATTAGGATAAAATTATGTGGCGTTATTTTAAAGATCATCTCAATGATTAAATTGAAATCTTAATTCCATAGCACTGAAAAATGACTGTCACCATTAGCCGGTAGACCTTCCGGTGAATAAAACATGTACTGATACGAATTCGTCCGTAGTTTACATATTACTACAGGTGAAATACAGATACTAATAAATACCACTTGTATAATAACAATCTACTCTCACTATCATCTACACTATCACACTTACCTAATGGCCAGTGGAGTAGACGAGGAGAATATCCACCATTGAAACAGAATTTGTTGTCCTTGGACACGCTATCCACTCGTCCATTATCGACAAAAGATATGGTCTTTTCTCGTCTTAACACCGGTGTGGACACCCCTCTCACGGATAGATCCCCACAAGATCCCATCTGTGACATTGGGTGGGCTATCACAGGTGTATTCCCCCGATATACTCCAGGTGACCAAGGCCGGGTCCTCAATGTCCGTGTCGCCATTTTGTGTACAGGTATCCTATAGGTAACTGGTGTGTGTGTATCACTAATATTGTATATTCAAAAGATAAATGAATGGAAATATCTTTACACAAGCTATTACCGTTGCTCGGCAATTTGTACACAAACAGTTAACGGGTTTTACACCGTGCCCTATACATCGTTATCGGTTATACATCATTACGGCTATGTCGACAGAATATCGATCTTACTTCTATATTTAGTTGATTAGTAGCAAGAAATTATAATATTGGAAAAACGAGAAAACTGGAAGATTTCATTAGAAACGACGACCGTGACCGTCGCCATATGTAAACATGAGCATAGTTACGAACGTTATTCAGGTTGTTTGGAGGAGTAAACGTTATGTACAATAATAAGTGTATATCGTATTATTTGCTATAGGTTAAATACATTAATATTATAGATCATTTGTATACTGAATAAATGTATTGTTGGTCTTAAGATACTGAATTAGATTCGAGTCATGAACTCGTTGTAAAGTCATGTAGACGATTATTTGTATGTTCATAGATAATAATACTCTGCCATTGTATAATTATCAATAAAACGTTTGTGTGTGTTTGTATTTTGCTGTGTTATCTAATAATACATTTATAGAAAACTATTGTAGCGTATACATGGAATAGATAAAATATTCTCATAAAATAGGAGGGTCTAGAGCACAAGTGATATAACTACAAAAATCCCATTTTTTGAAAATTGACCTCAAAGTCTAAACCATGTGCATTTCACACCACCATTGGTACCCTATTCAAATTATTACTGAATATTATAGACGTTGTATGCTATCTCTGTCTATGTGCTCACTTCAATCTGACTTTCATGAAAAAAGCTACAGGCTTTTTAATTTTAGATAGATCACTTGAACACAAGCAAATTATCCAACTTGGATTAAAAACTGGAGTTATAGCAATTGTCACAAATCCATTTTATTATGTATTGGTCACTGAATTTAGTCAAAAAAGCATTTATTGCTGCCTGGGTCACCAGTTAACATTCGTGAACAGAGATAATCAACGGATGATATTTTCATGTCTTAAATCAAGCAGAGTTTCTATGGCTCAACTTAATGAAGTTGGAGTTCTGCAGATTTAAGGTGGACGGCGGAGGGGAAAGATGGAAGGGCCAGGCGGTTAAAATGAAAAGTGAGTGTAAAGTGTATAGGACGTATAAAGGCATTGCCCCTGTTCGTTCATATGTCTGTCCGTCCGTCTGTCTATTTAATTTTTTTGTGGACCCTCTACAGGTCACAATTTTATCTGCTTTTGACGAACCTTTAATTATGGCTTTATATCCCAAAGATAGCAGTTCCTTTCGATATTGGCATGTGTCGGATCATAACTTCATGGATTATGGCGACATCATTGTACGAAAAATCCCGCTTTAGCTTGTGGACCCCTAGGGGTCACAATTTTTATCAGATTTTGCTGAAACTTTAAATATATGTTTATAACTCAAAGATCACGGTTCCTTTCGATATTGCGCATATCGCACCGCAACTGCCATTATTAAAATTGAGAAGACAGTTGGCCCAACTACAGATAGATCACTCTACCATAATCAACCCCGGAGCTTCCGCTGCACATTAGATCCCTTGACACGAAATACATTATGAGTCAAAGAATATGGCCAACTAAATAGTTCAAAATATGACAATTGGTAGTTAGATCACTTGTGCTCTAGACCCTCCAATTATATAGAACGGCATATGACTAAGAGTAACATAATACATGTAATATCTGCAACGCCTAGTGACACGTGGTACCGGGTGTATTTGAATACTTATATTATTAGAAAGAAAACAAAGGTTATATTAATCTGGCATTTATCATATCAAAATACAATATATTGATAATCTCGGATTAGGATACAACGCGGATCATTCATAATCACTGTTATTTGATCAAAAAGATACATTATGGGAGATTCGATAACGAGTTGGCAGTTCTCACTATAATAGTTAAAAACTAAATTATGTAAAGGCAATTTGCTGAAAATTTCTTTCAAATGGATCAACTATGAACCAAGAACAAAGCGATCGAATTTCCGCCTAGCCTTGATCATCATTACTAAAGTCAGTACGATAAACAGCATAGTCTTGATTATCCACTTAATCGTTAATTCGTGAAGGAAAATTATGCAGTAAATCAGCTCATAATCCACTAAAGATCGCAGGCTAGCGATGCCAGTTAATTAATGTCTAATTAATAATTTAGATAACAATTCAGGCCTAAAGAAAGACCTGCAATAGACAGATTTAGCTCTTGCATAATGTATGTTTAGGCACAGGTTTTACAAAAAATTCTCAGACTTAAGAATTTAATCACCTTTCAATCACTATTATGAGAACTATCTTTGATCTAGAAGCACACAGATTTGCACATAGTTTCTTATTGATGTATTTGATACATTAAAACAACAAAGGTTTCATAAAGAGCTATATTTTAGTTAAAATAAGGCGAACCATTTTGAGTAAATTCTTAACTTAAATCTGAGAATGTTGTGTGAAACCGGGGCCATCAAATCCCTGCTCAAACGTGCTCTAACATGCTGTTTTGGAAATTACCAATAATTTGTATATAAACGTGAATTTATTTTATGACAGTGTATCTAAATGAGTGTATTATACCTTTTATAGAATGATATTAGGTTATTGTTTATCAAATCCATTATTATTTTTCTATGGTTGGTTTGGAGTGTGTTAACTGCGGTTAGCTCCCTTTAATCATAACTATTTCAAAAAGAAAAATGAAATGAAAATTAATGAGATGGTGATTAACGTCCAACTGCACGTTAATACTTGTATGTTGGCATAAGACAAACCTCGCCCCCGAGCTTAAAATAAAAAACCCAACGTGGGCTAAGCAGAAGAAGCAAAATCATAATCTATAGGGGCCTACGGATATGAATACAAAATAGACTGTGTGACATTTAAAATAATTATACCAATCTATAGTATAGCAACCTTATACATAGAAATATTCAAATGTATATTAAGACAATGTCTGCTATCAAAGCGAGAGAGAGAGAGAGAGAGAGAGAGAGGTTAACGTCCACTCGACACAAACTAGGTCATTTCGGGACTAACACATGGTTCAATTTTATTTCAATAATTCGCTTGCGCGTAGGGGTCTTTAGCAGTGGGAGGAAACTGGGGGACCCGGAGAAAACCCATGAGGTTGGAGAGGCGACCCTACTCCTTGTCACGTACAACTGGGGAATCGAAACCCCGCCAGTTGACTGAATGACAGACCGCATGATACAGCGCAGCGCGCACGTGCTAACCATTCACCCCCCCCCCCCCGCTATCAAAGCAGTTCATAGATACGTTTGTATTTGATCGTTATAGGGCTAAGGTCTATAGGCAATAACAATTCTATTCAACGAATTATGCGAAATGACATATTATATGGGATGAAATGAAATGAAATGGGATTTAACGCCCTACTTTTCTGCACCAACTGGACTAATGAAGACGGGAATACGCCGTACAGTGTACTATGAAGAAATTTTGACCGGACAGCGGCACTACGGCCTACTCTTATATAGAACTCTGTCAGCTAAGCATGTCAGATAATGACTGTGTACACAATAAAACGACTGGACACGCCCTGCTTTAATTTCCAAGAGTGTTCTTTGCCTCTTGGTGCATTTCCACGATCATGTTTATGAGTTTGCGTAAGATATTTTACTTTCAGAACTCAGACACGCAATTTCATATAATTTATACCGAAAATCTCCCAACATAATTGGGTTGCATTTGCACTGCAAATCCCCAAGATAATTGATATGGAGTTGTTTATAAGGTTTCTCTTGTAGATCACTGTTTTTATACAGCTCCCAAAAGATTACATTACACCTTTAATATGATTTGATAATGTATGAGATCATGTAAGATGGCTCAAATTAAATTAAATTATTTTGAAAAACTGATTTCCCCTATCTGCTTGTAATCATGTCAGAAGTCCTTTGCGCTAAAGCTGTGTATTTTTTACGCAAAGAAACCCCATAATCTTTATAAAATGGTTTACCAGATATAAATAGGGAAATTATTCTCCATAATTCCGCTATAATTGTGCAGATTTAACAAGATTTACGGCTCTATCTAAGAGAGTAGGTTTTCTGATCTTTACCATTTATGATTTAGATTACCGGAGAAGAAACGCTATCATAATCTCTTTTTTAAAGAAAACTCTTTATATTCGATTAAATTGACATACCATCGACTATTTTAAACAGACCCGTCTAATTCCTAATATATCAATTTAAATGTAGTTTTCACAACATTTAAATATTATGCTACACCTTTCAAGTATCCCACGATTTTATTTTAAAAAAAACATCATGATATTAATGCCGGGTTTTTAAAATTGCAGGTATAGACTAAAATATTTTATCAAAGTAAATTAGAATCAAAATGTGTATGTTAAAGTTACAATTTCATATTTTTAAGTTATATTTTTAAAATGTATTAAAATAAAGCCCTAAAATAGATGTATCTATAAACAGTCCTACCTTGTTAAAGAATAATCCTAATAATCCTATAATTCACTATTGGCAGTTAGAAATTGGCAAAAATATCATTTTCAACTTCAAATTCAAACGTTTGAAGATAGCTATTCCGTTGTGAAGATTTTTAAGTGTGAGAAAGATAACCTATGATCGAATAATAGTGAGTTGACAACCTATTGAGCAAAAGACATAGAAATAATTATGTTTTGACTTTCTTAGAAAATATAAAATTGTAACTTTAAAGAATCCAATAACGACGAAGTAAGCGGTTGATTTAAATGATTAAACTAAAGCGTCATGAATGCATATTCCTGAAGCAATGGCCCGAGAAATCCCTCTCTGGCCATTGCTGGATTGGCTTCTGATACTTGAGCTTTTGAGGGAGTATGTCTATTCTTCCCGTTCAATCAAATATATCCCAAGTATAGCAACATGACAGCCCTTCGTTTAATCTAGGGTCTTCCGTAAAACTTTGGACAGTGATTTAAGGTATTAAAAACGGTGGAAGTATTGCTCGTCTCCAAACAATATTGTTTACATTGTATCAGTTTTGATATCCGATTTGTCACGCAATTAGTTTTTCTGCAATATTCTGCTATTCATTGGTTAATAGCAGTTAGCTATTGGTTGTTAATCGGACTATTGACCAGTCATAATTTGGAATAGAAATTTGCTTCCATTTCAGCAGTGTTAAGTGGGATTAGCTCTAATCAAACGAAAAACACT